TCTTACTTACAAACACCCCAAGACCAAATGGGGAGAAAGGGGAAAAAAACAGTACCACACAAGCCCACCTCGGGGCTAACGATAGGGGAGATGTGGATGCAAGCACTTGGAGCCTCTGAAGCAAACTCAACATGGCGGCTCAACACGGCGGTTGCTCGGACTTCTCTGAGGACATATCTGATGCGGAGGAAGGGGGATATTTACAGCCTCCGGACCCACCACAAAAGGCACAACGCGGTGGCAGAGGGGCAGACACAGAACCGATCACAATAGCGGTTATGAAGGCCTTAATGGTGGACCTGAAACGTAGCTTCCACGAGGAAGTCACAGCGCTCCGCGCAGACCTGAAAGGCCTGACAGGCCGCATCTCCAAACTGGAAGGCTCCTCACAATCCCAGGCCCAGGAAGTCACCGTTCTGCGACACACTGTACAAACCCTGGAACAACAGACCCGGCAATATGAACATCGCCTTGCGGCGCTCGAGGATGCCAGACAGGCCTCCAACATTAAAATCAGGGGAGTTCGCGAGGACATTACCGAAGCCGAACTACCTAAACTAATAGAGCGCATGTTACTAGAAATACTACCACAAAGGCAGCGTGCAACGATCACCCTAGAACGGGTCTTCAGAATCCCCAAACCAACAAACACGCCGAACGCAGCCACGAGGGATGGAATCCTGAGCCTTCACAACAGAGGACACAAAGCGACAATTCTGTCAGCCCTCCGAGGCAAGACCCCCTTCCGATTTGAAAATATGGACCTCTCACTCTACTCGGACCTGTCCAGCAGCACCCTGGCTTGGCGCAGATCGCTACGGCCACTTACCTTAATTCTCCGCACCCACAAATTGGACTACCGATGGCGATCTCCCAGAACACTGTCAGTCCAGCGAGGAACGATCTCACACAACATCCAGGACATCCGGGATGCCCTGGCCTTCCTCCAGCTCCTGAACTTACCCCAAGATTCGCTGACCCCGGCGGGGCCAGCCACCACGGGTAACAACAGCTCCCCCGACCGCACCCATACATGGGATCCGGATCGGAGCTCCACGTTCGTCCCTCAGAGCTCCACGCCGGAGGCATATGCAGCGATCGCGATGTAGAAACACCGGGACACTCACAGTTACTCCGTTGGCGGCCTACCACAGACCCAGGTTGACCACAGGGACACTGAACTCAGGTTCGTTCGGGAGAAACCGGGCGTTGGGTGCATTAACTCAGGCCCGCAACGCAATAAGGAGCAATGGGGAGGGCGTACCTGACCTACACCTACAGCCACAGCAGGAATACACCTGGATGCACCAGATGACGCTCAGGGGCCACAGGACCATACCAAGCCGAGGCATTGGCTGATAGTGCCACATGTCCCCGAGCGAAGTACACGCACACATATTCAAGGACTTGTGTCTTCTTATGGCTCGTCAGGTGAAGGTCCAATACTAATGCTTATTTTATGTTTTACTATTTTTCTGTTTAAAACCTGTACAGCAACCAGCACAAACCTAGGCATAAGCCCGACACACTAACAGACCCTAACCTAATGTATTTGAAACCAATGCGAACCTGGAAGACATACCTAGCTTGATAGGTCTACCTGGTTTTAAAAAAATGAGCAGAAAGGCTCAACGCCTCCTGTCACTCTCGTGAATGGTCTCCTTGCTTGGGATACAAACTAAGCATAGTCAACTAGTTTCACATACCGAGAGTGCCCACGAGTTAAACATACTTACCCAGCCTGTTCAGTACAGCGGAAATCATTCATCATCAGTGAAATCACTAGTAAAGACCGGTAGCACTTAACCCAGCTGAATTCGATACATGTATATAAACCCAAGTAAACTGGGCTCCGGGGTCTGCAAAGTCTAGCGTGTCATATTCTACCCTAAAAATGTGCAAGTAGTCTAACAGGTTATGGTCCACCTCAAAAATATGCAAGTAGCCAAGCACGTTATATTCTACCCTAAAAACGTGCAAGTTGCCTAGCATATTATACCCTACTTAAAAACGTGCGCATTATCTAGCATGTTACATCCTACTTTAAAAAAAAAAAAAAGGTGCAAGTTGTCTAACATAATATACATTACCTTAAAAACAGGAAAGAGGCCCAACATCAACAGCTCCTATTCTACTTTAAAATTGTGCAAGTTATCCAGCAAGTTATATTCAACTTTAATAATGAACAAGCAGTCTGGCATGCTACATTTTACCTTTCTTAAAAAAAAATGCAAATTGTCTAGCAGGATACACCCTACTTTAAAAACGTGCAAGTTGTCTAGCATGTTATATGCTACATTAAAAATGTTCAAGCTGTCTAACATGTAATACTCTACTCTAAAAATGTGCAAGCTGTCTAACATGATATATTTCACTTTAAAAATGTGCAAGATGTCTACATGCCATATCTCTGTTATAGACCCTGAAACCGCGCTTGTGAAAACTATCAACATGTCCGATTCTACTTTAAAATTGTGCAAGTTATCTAGCAAGTTATATTCAACTTTAATAATGCACAAGTAACCTGACATGCTACATTCTACCTTTAAAAAGGCAAGTTGTCTAGTAGGATACACCCTACTTTAAAAATGTGCAAGTTGTTTAGCACGTTATATGCTATATCAAAAATGTGCAAGTAGTCTAGCACGTTATATGCTATATCAAAAATGTGCAAGTTGTCTTGAATGCTATATCTACCCACTGTCTATGTTTCTCTCAACAAAATGTAAAAATTGTGCTGTATATTCATATGCCATGCTTTGATTGTTATACCTGTTACCGCTTACAACTGCTATCGTGGCAGAGTAAGCCTATTGTTATTTCATGCACAACAGAAAATAAAGAATAAAAAAAAAAAAAAAAGAAATAGTCTGGGTAGAGTGCCCCTGTCCCCTTAACCCAGCAAATGAAAACATTGTAATATCAAAGAAACTGCAATATTTTCAGTACATGGTTAAGACAACCTCTAGCGTTAACTTCATGGAATGATGGTGGACATCCTCACATTTTGCATGAGGATGTCCAGCATCTTAAAATTTCATTTCATCAAAAGCATTGATTCAACGTACATTTAATGCTTAAAATTCAGCTATTTGTTAATTTTACCCCACTCTGTCCCTGGACCCTATGCTTTAACTAGGCTCTCTTCTCTAAAAAGTAAACAGCCACTATGCAATAATCACAAATAGCATCAATCCTATTGAGTCACAGTTCCCCATTGAATTGAAGATAAGGTTATTATTCATTCTTCATTTGCAGGAAATAGTTGTTTTGGTCTGACAGTTTATATTTTAATCAAGCAGAATTAAAGGGACCCTTAAAGGACACATCTAGACACCTTTTAAAAGAGCTTAATTTTTTATTTTGTTTATCCATTGTGCTATTCAAAAATGTTTTTTTTCTCCCATCACTCAGTCAATGCATCGGCAGCCACTCAACGCCAAGCCATTGGCTGAGAAAGGAGAGCAGAAAATAAATCCTTCTCGTCCAATGAATGTGCTGCAGTTGCTATGGAAACTCCCTTGCTGGGACATCTAGTGCCTGCTCAGGAGTATAGGACGGAGTGATAGCATGTTGTCATCACTGAAGAGCTTTGCCTTTCTTGGGGAAGCGCCCCCAAGCACGGCAAATCACTGAAGACCGAAGGAGAATCGGAGAACTGCCGGAGGTTGGTGTTACATGAAGAGTAACAGCCACGATGCTCGAAGATAGCATTGCAGGAATGGAGGAGCAGTGAGTTAATCTCTATATTTTACATTGAGTACATCATGTATCTTTTTGAAGGAGCTCCCTGCACCTGCCGGTCGCTATCCCACGTACCCGCCATCCCACCAGTAGTATTGACAACTGTATAAAAGCAAGTTCTGAGTAATTTGTACACGCTCTCTCACAGCGTTGTATAAAAGAGCCTATGTATGAGCTGCCTGCCTGTGTAGCCACAGGTTTTCTTAATTTATGAACTTACATGAATTAAGCTATAAATCAAGTGCAATAAAGACACTTTACTGCTTCTGTTATGTTGCTGTGTAAGTAATTGATGTGTTTCACTACTGAAGCTACTCATTTCTATTGACCCACACATTTCATCCATTGGCAGTGATTATGTACATATCTATTGAAAGCAATGGAAAGAAGAGAATATAATATCAGTCATTTTCTGGTTCTCGCAGAAGTTACATGCCACAAATGATGGAGATTCAGCACTTCCTTGCTGGGTCTCAGGTACAAAAGGTGTGACCTTATATTATTTGTTTCTTCATTTTCACACATTATACACATTTTATATTAAAGGGACTGCTATGTTTACATTTGGGGTTAATCCAGTCTCTAGAGGCTGTCTTCCGGACAGCCACTAGAGGCGCATCTGCGACGCTGTAGGCATATTTCGCCTCCATCACGCAGAGCGTCCATAGGAAAGCATTGAGAAATGCTTGCCGCGCATGCGCATTCGGCTCTGCTGACATCGGACGGGGGAGCTGACGTCGGCAGGGGAGGAGAGGTCACCAGTGCCGAGGGAGCCCGGCGCTGGATTAAGGTAAGTGGCTGAAGGGGTTTTAACCCCTTTAGCGCCATGGAAGGGGGACCTTTAGGGTGGGGGCACCCTCAGGGCACTATAGTGTCAGGAAAACCGCTTTGTTTTCCTGACACTATAGTGATCCTTTAATTCTTATACAGTGCATAGACTTCAAATGTTCATGTTCTGCAAGTTGGCTTTGCTTCAAACAATAAGAGCAGACTGGGAGAATGACAAGCGTTGGATTCCAAAGACAGAATGATCAGAGTGGCGAAAAACAATGTCTGGCAGGTAAAAGGACAAAAAAGTAAAGATCAGGGACATTGATTTATGATTAGGATACAGATATCTCCCATCAGGTTATCTATTATAAGAGTGACCATAATTTATTACTTTCCATGCCACCTCCTTCCTTGCTGGAAACAATTGTACAGTGAAGAAAAAAACACCCACAACTGCCTGGGTGACTCTTACTTGTTAAATAGCTGCTTAACAAAGAGCAATCTCTTCTTCAGAACATTTTGCTGGCAACATGGTATCAGTCTGGAAATGGGTCTTGGCAAACAGAAATTACTTCATCATCTTCCTCACACCTTTGTTCCTTCTGCCCCTGCCATTGGTGGTGCCAGCCAAAGTAAGTAGTCCTAAATGCTGGCTTTACAAAGAAATGAGATTTATGTTTGAACAATGTGCTACCGGGCAATCGCATTGTTAGACTGAAATCATTCTTTATATAATTCTTTTATATAAATATACACAGGGATTTGGAATAGTGCGCAAGTAACTTTTCTTCTTTGAAATAAATTCTTTGTTTACACATATTGGTTCCACGTACATTGCGCTTTTCATTACACTTATGCAAACAGATGAAATAGTTACTGAAACAACAAAACATCTACAATTAGATCTTTGTAAGTCCGATGTAAGAGACTCAATGCAAAGACAAAGTCATATAAAAGGCATGTTCTCTGTTGCAAAGTGAAACATTGTGTAGAAAGGGTTTTGTTGTTTATGTGACCAATGCTTTCTATAGCACTCTTATCCAGATTTTTACACAGACAGTAAATTCATCAATGGGTAAGCTAGAATACAGTCAAAGAGTACGTAGAAATTCATAATCAGGTGACGGAGAGTCCTTCAGGTTACCTGGGGTTTTGGTAACTGTACTGCACAACAGCTAGCAGCATGGGGAGCGATTTGAGACACATTTTCTCATTTTATAGAACCTGGACTACATATGAAATGGCCAAGGGAAGGCAATAGCATTTTAAGATTAGTAGTATTTTTTATTATAAAGTAAATGTTGCAACACAGCTAGAATTATCTATTACTAGTGGTACTCAGTGAGAGAAAGCCGGGCAAAATGATTTATATACTGCCAACATATTGCTAACATTTAGGGAATAACCTATACCTCTTAGAGCAGGGGTAGGCAACCTTCGGCACTCCAGATGTTTTGGACTACATCTCCCATAATGCTTTAACGTCCATAATGCTGACAAAGCATCATGGGAGGTGTAGTCCAAAAGATCTGGAGTGCTGAAGGTTGCCTATGCCTGTCTTAGAGCAATGGTTATCCCATATTATATGCATGTCATTAGCCTGGAAATCCATTCTTCAATTAGTATATATAATAGAATAAATTCTGGAAAAAAAAAACGTCTTTCCAGCATCAAACAGGTTTTCATTCAATTGTACTGGGAAAAAACATTACATTTGTTATTGTGGCCAGTTGCCCGTAATATGCTGTTTGTTTTATTTAGTGAATAACCGAAAATGCAGTATGGGTGATTCTGGCACTGAATTTGTTCAATCACACACTGCATTCAATTTCTCAATTTATAGGATGAGCCAACTCCCTGTGAAGCTAAGACACTCCCTGTAATTAAGACTGACAGGATTTAATTCAATCAAATGTCAAATTTGCTTCTTTGCATCGAGACAAAGATTCTCCTGTTTGATAGTTTAATACATTGTTTGCTGATATAAAAACAAATACTCAGACGTGTTTTCTAACTCGGTAATAGTCAAATTGTCATAGCTTGGCTGGTTTAGATTTCAGTTTTGCAATTTGAAGTTCGGTTCACTACAGTTCACGTTGAGGTTTATTCAGTAAACAGCTCAAAACAGTTTTTAAAATGAAAACCTGATTGCAAAACTCAGATTTAAACAGGCAAGCTGTGACTACAGCGGAGTTACAGATTTTTTCTTTATCAGCACATTTTTCAAATCACTAGTAAGTATCTAAATGAAAGTATAAAATCATATACACTATGTGGCCAAAAGGCTGTGGACCAATTATCAAGTTTAGATGTTTCAGCTTGACAAACTGCTAACAGGTACATAGCCATGAAACCTAAGTGAACAAACACTGGAAGTTCTACGGATCATACTGAAGGCTCAGTGGCTTTAAAGAGACACACAACTCCACAAATAAAATAAATAAATGAATATACAATCTAAAAAATCACTATGTATTAGCTATACCCCCAATGGAAGCATGCATTAATTTAATTATTTATTTTTTCAATCAGGGTATCTAAAAACACCTTGCAAAAGCAGCAGTTGAATTGTCTGCAGCCTTCTTCCCCCAGCTCAGACTTTCTTTGTCTGTCCAATCAGACACATACCAATGCAGCTCAATGAGAAATCTTTGCAAGGCCGGTGTTCGGGCCACTACCTTGCCTCTTGGCTCTACAGAGCTAAACAACCAGGATTTAACATGACCTGATGGACAACCAGGGGGTTGTAACAAGTACATTTATAAATGTGGCATTTTTAATTGAAATCTGCACCTGTGGTAAAAAAAAAAAAAAAAGACACATTGTTCACACATAAATTACTTTAGCAGGCTAAAATGCGTTAGGTGTCTGGCAGATTTATGCTGTAGAAATGTGAACTTAGAATAATTATTCTGCTTGATACTTATTTATATACAGTATATGTATGGAAATTCCTATTTCTTATTGTTTGATGGCCTTGTATTATGCCTATTATAGTTCTTTGGTGTCACTTAAAAATATAACGCAATTAGACTTTCCTGGCTTTTCTTATAAAAGAGATTTATTCTTCTTGCGTTGCAAATACAAAGTCAGTACTTACAATGTCATTGATGTTAAATAGGTCAACATGCTGGACATTCAGAGTTTGAAGACATTCTGCTCTTGATGTTCCGTGTCTCGGTGTCTGTGTCTCATTCTCCTAGACTCCCCTCTTACACAGATAATACATTCTACATATATACCACCAAAAGTGATGTGTAAGCATTACAAACATGCATACTCACAGAATGCTGAAACACATACCATGTGAAATTCACTTATCATCAGTTGCACAAGTCACTACAGAGTTCCAAACAGCCTCTGAAAGAAAGATTAGTATAAAAACTGTTCCTGGGCCCTGCAAAGCAATGTCCAGGAAGCCATGGATTGAGGAGTTTGCTGTGGAAGAGTAATCTCCAGAAAGCTCTGACCTAAACCTCATTGATCACTAGGCTTGTGCCCGGTGACAAAATTGTGCTCAACTCACCATTTTTCACCAAATATTTTCATGACACTTTTCGACCAAATGTCTTTTCAGCTTGGCAGAATTTATGAACCGTGATTCTGATTCGGGAACCGAATCTGAAGAACAAAAAGGGCTCAAAAACTGTCAATAGGCAGGCTGCAAAATATATACATAATATCATATTCACACCATTTGGTTCAGAATCTTAAGAGTGTAAAAATAACTAGTAGTGACTAATAGTAACTAAAAACAGAATGAGTAATTAAAAATATACATGTATATATTTATTAAATATACACTTATCAAATTTTAAAAAAATATTCCTTCCTAAAAGAGTGGCAGCTGTTACAGTAGCAAATTGGGACCAACTCTATATTAATGTACGTCATTTAGGAATGGAATGTCAAACAAGTTCAAATTCATATAGGTGTGATGGTCAGGTACCCATATACTTTTGGCCACTTACCTTTAGTCCCCCGGCGCACTGATCTCGCTAGAGCTGCTGCTCCTCACCTGGCTGACATCATAATTAAAGATAATCTTAGTTGATATAACACCTCCGCATAGGGAAGCATATGGGGGAGACAATAAGCATTTGAGACAATTGCCAACCAGCAGATCACTGCATTTCTATGGGGAGCACTCTGCATTGAGATGCTGAACATTGGTGGTGCAAAGATTAAAGGACCACACCTTTCTGAGTGACAGCCTCTAGAGGTGGCCTTTGGGACAAATGTACACATTTGTCAGGTTACAGAGACAGGCTCTTTGTACCAGAACCACTACAATAAGCTGTAGTGGTTCTAGAGCTTAGAGCAGTGGGTTCCAAACTAGTCCTCAAGGCACACCTGCTAGTCCAGGATTACCAAGTTGTGTCAAGGTCTATTTTTGTTTTATTTCTACAAACAAGTCTAAATAGGATCTACAGTTACAGCAGTTTCATATAGGGCTCATTCACTAAGAAGCACACAATGCTGGGACAAACATATTTGCTAGTAACACGGATAAGTTCCAAAATATTTTACATTGGCTGCATTCTCAAATAGGCTATTTTGCCCTAAACATTGGCTTATTTGTTTTTAATTTCCCAAGTCTCTGTTTATGAAATAATCTCCTTATACAGCTGAAATCAGAACAGGATTCTATTATCATAGAGGCACCTTTCCTCTAGAGGTCACCTGGTCTCAACATTTATAAGGATCTTTTTGGAGTTTCAAAGAAGGCTATAGACACCAAGACCACTTCATCTCAGTTTCAAAGAAAGCTATTGGCCCCATTTTAACCACGCAATTGAAAACATTGCCGTTCCTGCAGGGTTAAAGCGGCACTGTCACCCACCCTAAAAAAATTAGTATTTCATGAAGATAGAATCTTTATGAACTACTCATTTTGACTGTCTTGGAATTTCACTAAAATTACAACACAGTCAAGAGAGACGTAATCACCAAGAGACGTAATCACCATCACTGGGGACGGAAGACGGACACTTTATGTAAATTCCCAAATTATGTTTTAGTCATCCTCTGCCCATTATCGGTGCAGGCAGGGCCGGATTAACAAAGGGGCTGATGGAGCTGCAGCTCCAGGCCCAGGCCCAGGCCCAGGCCCATGGAATAGGCCCATTGATTTATAAAAAAAATAATAATAATAAAAAAAAGAAATAATGTTTTTTTGTTTTTTTTTACACACTACTTTACTACACTACTACTTAGGGTTTCCACGTGGCTGGTGTTTTATTGGCACAGCCAGTATTTGAGGTTGCCTGGTTGGTGCCGATATAGCAGTCATACTGGCAATACAAATGCTGGTATTTTCCTTAGTATAAACAGAGATTATGATGCAATACCAGCACTGGCCAGTAGGTGTCACTGTGTGTGGAGAGAGGCAGGGATAGGAAGTTCCAGCATGTCCCTCCCTGCCTATCTCTAATCACTGATCCGCAGGGGAGCAGCTACACAGCACAGAGCATCCAGACCGCAGCTCCCAGCCTGCAGAGACAGTCTACAGCTCAGGAAATTGAAGGATGGGGGGGAAGGGCTGCAAGGAGACATGGGGACACTGAGACACTAAGGGACATTGGGAGACATTATTACAGACACTTGGGGACTCTGGGAGACATGGGGACACTGAGACACTAAGGAACATTGGGAGACATTATGACAGACACTTGGGGACCCTGGGAGACATGGGGACACTGAGACACTAAGGGACATTGGGAGACATTATGGCAGACACTGGGAGACATGGGGACACTGAGACACTAAGGGTCAAGTGTCCCCTATTTTCTAATGTGTCCCCTAGTCTCCCAGTGTCCCTGGTGTCTCCGTGTCCCCAGGTCTCCCCGTGTCTCCAGTGACATGGGGACCCTGGGAGCAGGGCCAGATTAACAGCCCATTGGGCCTGGTGCTGACAATTATGATGGGCCTAATTACAGAATCTTATCGACCAAAAACACTAAAACACTCCCAAGCATCATGTATCTGATGGAGATGGTGCTGGAGGGAAAGAAAACAGCAGCTAAAAGAAAACACATACCCTATGCTAATCTTGCGCTAATTTATGTTTTCATCTTTCAAGGGAGTGTTTGTGTAATTTAGTGAATGTATGTGTTTTAGTGTGAAGGTCTTGTAATTTGATGAGAGTTTGTGCAGTTTAGTCAGTGTGTGTGTTAGTTACTGTCCAAATGGGTTTGTGTAATTTAGTTAGTGTGTGTGTAATTTAGTGTGACTGATTAAGTGTATGTGTTTGAGACAGTGTCTATAGCCCTGGTGTGATGGGAGTGAGCACGGCTGGGCCTAGGGCAGCTTAAAAAACGAAATACACAATTTGTGCTCGCACTCCACTGCACTGGGCTCTTTTCTTTGATGACTCCAGAAACAGGACAGAAGAAAAAAAAATCCATGATGGAGGACAAAAGAAGTACAATATTGGAACTGTATGCATTTGGGACAGTCTGTTACTGGGTGGTCTAATGATAACGCAAGTTGTCATCAATTATTAAAACATTAGATTAAATCCTCAATTAGTAACGTTTAGTTATTGTCATTTACTGTAAATGCACAGGTCCCTTCTGTAGCCATTTGTGTAAAAGATAGACAATTGGACTTTGCATTATACACTCCTTGTCTTTCAAGGTAATTTGTAAATCATGTGCTGCTTGGCCATGTAGCAATATTAGGGAATGTTCTGCTCTGGTCTGTTATTTGTACATGGTGTTCTTCAGATTCAAAGCGTTCTGAAGTAGTTTAATTACTAAATCAATATGCTTATTCTTTCTCTTTTCTTTTATGACCAGTTTTAAAATATTCTATTTTTTTGGATCTTTGAGTGACAGAAACAGTTGAAAATACGTGTTGCAAACTCTTTTCTATATGTGAGTGTCCATAGAACATGGGTTGACCTAATAGGGTTATTAGAATTGCCAACAATCATATTGCCGTTGTAATGCTTGCACACCCACTTTGATGGTGCTTATATAGAATTTATTATACAGGGTGGCCAAAAGTAGGTATACAGTTGAATCAATGAAATTCATCACAGATTAGATGGATACACACTGACACAAAACAAAGCGGCAGTTACATTCCAGGCATTTAAATATCAGTGTGGCAGTTGAAAAGAATAGTGGATATCAGTGTGGCAGATAAAAGAATTTAGAACCTATAATGAAAAATGACATATACTTTATACCTACTTTTGGGCCACCCAGTATTTGTAAGAGGGAGACAATGAGACACAGAACATTCAGGGCAAAGTGTCTCGGCACTCTGATTGCCCAGCACATACCATTAGCTGTTGACAATTTTAACATCAATGACATCATAAGAACTGACTTTGTATTTGCGATGCAAGAAGAATAAATCTCCTTTTATACGTAAAATCAGGAAAGTCTGATTGCATTATATTTTTATGTGACCCCGAAGAACATATATAAATATATGATACAACATAGAAACATATAATGTGACGGCAGATAAGAACCATTTGGTCCATCTAGTCTGCCCAATTTTCTAAATACTTTTATTAGTCCCTGGCCTTATCTTATATCTTGAATAGCCTTATGCCTATCCCACGCATGCTTAAACTCCTTCACTGTATTAACCTCTACCACATCAGCTGGAAGGCTATTCCATGCATCAACTACCCTCTCAGTAAATACTTCCTGAAATTATTTTAAACTTTGCCCTACTAATTTAAGACTATGTCCTCTTGTTGTGGTAGTTGTTCTTCTTGCTATGTTGAGATCCTTTTACCCTGCAATCCATGAACCAGTTTTGTAGCCCTTCTCTGAACTCTCTCCAAAGTATCAATATCCTTCTGAAGATACGGTCTCCAGTACTGAGGACTCACAAGTGCGCTGTACAATGGCATGAGCACTTCTTTCTAGCTTATTTTTACCAAAAGAAAATACATACATACATATGAATAAGTATCAAGTAGAATTATTATTTTAAGATTTCCTTTCCTACACCAGTCAATATTATGTTTTCTTTTGGGGTTTTTTTCACGATACAATATGTCCAAAATCACGATCTGTAGGAATTCTAAACTACAAAAGCCAAAGGTGTTGTTTTGTACCTAATTGGAAAACATCCCCATATGTGATAGATTAAGGGTCAAGAGGAGATATAAAAAAAATAATGACAGCAATTAATATAGTGCTTTTTTCCTAGTTGGACTCACAGAACACACTAAAGATTTATTTGAGTCGGCAACTGATAAGGAAATCTTACTCAATCTTATTTTATCAAAGACAAATAGTTGAAATCCTGAGTCAGCCATACCAGGAATTAAACATGTGAGCCTGAGGTTTGAACGGTTACTGAGTTAACGCATATTCATCTAGATTCACTAACAGGCACAGAGATTAAATGTGTCGGCGTATTTCTATTGCAACGCCAAGCCCTAAAGTAGAAGGAAACCATACAAACTGGGGTGCCATTGTTATTCACTTGTTATTCTGGTGGGTCTGTCCCCTTTGGGTGGAGCCAGTGATGCAAATGCAGCATCTTTATCCCTCTCCCACTGGCGTCCCATTTCTCAAGATGCCAATGTTGTAGAGCTCTGTTATGTACTCAACACATCAACAATAGAGGGATTTGGTCCAAAATAGGGACTGTCCCTCACAAGTAGGGACACTTGGTAGGTATGCTATATGTACATAGGATATTGGGGATATACGAAAATAAAAATTATAAACTGCAAGTACAGTAAAATACAATAGTATATATTCAGTCAGTACCTGGAAATTGCTGGGTGAGGTGACAATTGAATTCCTCTGTTGGTGATTTGAGGCCTAAAACGGCCTAAATGTTATACTGTACGAAGGACATCAGCGCTGGACCCAGGTAGGTGACAGAAGGGGTTATTAAGAGCCTTGACAAAGGGGGAAGTTTGTTTTCCTGGCACTATAGTTTCCCTTTAACTCTGCAATATAAATATTACAATTTCTCTTGCAGGCCTAAAGGGACGGGGACACTGCACCAAGACCACTTCCATGAGATGTAGTGGTCTGGGTGCCTATAGTGCCCCTTTAAAAAATATATATTTTTATTTACATAAAATGTGGTCTACATGCCTAATTCTGTGATTTCTGTGCCGAATTTATTACAATCTATTTAGAGCATAAAGAAACAGCTTGTTTGACCTTATGGCTGTTGACGTGGCAAACAATGGCAGTTTCATTGATAAAAAAATAAACATTGATATCATTGTTTTGCTTGCATCAGGACATAATAAAAACGGCTTCTTATACAACTCCTATGTGTCCCGATTTATGACAGACAGTTTTTATTAGGACTCAAATCCTTCTGTCTCTCTTTTCTCTCCTAATTTTCTAAGGCCTCCGGTACTTCCGCATGTATTTGTATATTACAGTAATAAAACTCACAGTTTAATGTCTTTTAAACTTCAATAATAGTGTCTATAAATTAGCCGGTGTAAGTAAGACTTTGGTCAGTAAATCACATAAATTGCCTTTTAATAACCCATACCTGTCCACACTGCCTAAAATGGATGTGTCCTTCTATGACCATTTGAACGGTTGTCAGGTATGTTTTTATTGGAAAAATACAATTAAAACAAATATTTATACATTAATTGTAGTACTATTCCTCCATCCCCATTTTGGCATAAGCAGCTAGTGAACGGGGCCAGCTGGGAAGCCGTAAGACTAGTGAGAAGCGGATTGCAGTAGTCAAGGCAAGAGATGTTAGCGCTATAACTACTATCTGAACGTAACTTAAAAATACTAGTTTAAAAAGAAACGCAAAATACACATTTTTGTTTTACAAACTCGATTTATAGAGAAATACATACTTCTCAACATTATGAATGCATGACTGGGTTAGGCAGGTGACGGTCTAAAAGGGAGTGCTAGTGGAAGATATAAAAAAACAAACAACATAACTACCTCTCCGTATATTATTTAGACCACCATTTTATGCCGCCAATTTTTACCACTTTGCACAAATTTGGAGATATAATAATAGTGGGAGATACAAATTTTCTCCTTGACGGTTCTCTAGGCTCATCATTGTCCCATAAGGTATCAGCAAACACAGCTAATAAACAAAACGCTTCAGCTGCTAAGATACGCCACTCCCTCCTACAACACGACTTCCTAAACACTGGACAAGCCTTACATCCCACAGAAGTAGACTATACATATCATTCCGTTGTTCACAATACCAACACCAGAATTGTTAGATTTCTGACTCCTTCTAATATAATGTCTAAAATCCAAAGCACTCAGATAGGGCTTATCTCCTGGTCCAAACATGCACCTATCACCCTGGAACTAAATAAAAAACTCCCCAACTTAGGCTCCAGTCAGGGCCGGCGCTACCTGTAAGGCGGACTAGGCAGCCGCAGCTGCAGCCGCCCGAGCGCTCTGTAGAGAGCCTCAGGTGGCTGCAGCTTTGCCTGGGCGGTGCGTCCATGAGGGCGGACCGCACCGCCCGGGCGAACATGGGGAGAGGGGCTCAGCGCTCCCTCCTGTCACTCCCTCCCTGTAGCGTGGCCGAGCCCTCTATGGTATGGTCCGCGGGTACAGGGAGCATCTGTCTCCTGTACCCGGCCGGACTAACAGGAAGTACACACTGAGTGTGCACTTCCTGTTTGTCTGGCCGGGTACAGGAAACAAAAGCTCCCTGTACCCGCGGACCATACCATAGAGGGCTCGGCCATGCTACAGGGAGGTAGGGGGAGAAATTGACATGGGGGGAGAAATTGACATGGGGGGAATGGACAGAGGAGGGGGGAAATGGACGAGGGGAAATGGACAGGTGGGGGGAAATGGACGGGGAATGGACAGGAGGGGGGAAATGGACAGGTGGGGGAATGGACAGGGAGGGGGGAAATGGACAGGAGGGGGGGAAATGGACAGGGAGGGGAAATTGACAGGGAGGGGGAATTGACAGGAGGGGAATTGACATTGGGAGGGGTGAATTGACAGGGAGAGGGGGTGAATTGACAGGGAGGGGTTGAATTGACAGGGAGGGGGGAAGAAATTGACAGGGAGGGGAATTGATGGGGGAATGAGAGTGAGGAGGGGAGAAGAGAGTGACAAAGGGGGAGAAGAGAGTGACAAGGGAGGGGGGAGAAGAGAGGGACAAGTAGGGGAGAAGAGAGTGACAAGGGAGGGGGGGAGAAGAGAGGGTCAAGGGGGGGGAGAAGAGATTGACATCCATCACACACACACAATGCACCCCTTACACACAAAGACAATGCACCCCTTGCACACAGAAAAACACACAATGCATTACACACACAGACACACACACACAAGCAATGCAACCCTTACACACAATGCATCCCTTACACACAGAGAAACACACAATGCATTCCTTACACACACTCAATGCACCCCTTATAGATGCACACACTCAATGCATCCCGTACATACACAGAAACACACCTTGCAGCCCTTACACATACAAACACAGATTAAAAAAATAAATAAAGGGCCTTAAAAAAAATGGAGCTGCTTCCCATTCTCCCAGAACATTGATTTTTGTGACCACAGTTACAAACAGCCTCCAGGGAGCCTGTTCTACACCAGACCAGTGAAACCAGACTGCAGCTAGAGCCCATCATCATCCTCATGTGGTTGTAAGTAGGCAATCTAGTATATTATTCGTGGCACTAATCTCTAGTCCCCAGAACCACTTCAGCTTAATGTAGTGGTTCTGGTGTCCATAGCCTGTCCCTGCAGGCCTTTTAATGTAAACACGGCGGCACTGCAGCACTGGCGTTCGTTAACATGGCAGATCATATGGGTGGGGCATTGTGATGTCACATGGGGGGGGAGGGGAGGGGGCGGCAAACTTTACTTTTGCCTAGGGCGGCAAAAATCCTTGAACCGGCCCTGGCTCCAGTTCATGGAGAATCAAAGACAGTCTCCTACATATCCCTTCCATTGTTGACAAAGTAAAAGACTTGCTGACCTATTTTAATTTCAACACTCCCGCGGATAGGAGCATTGAAAATGAGTGGCAGGCCCATAAATCAGTAATCAGAGGAAGTTTTATTAGAACAAAAAAAAAAAAACACGGACGAAAGCTTACAGTGACTTAATACATAAACTTACCAATCTGACACATAAAAAATCCACTAACACACAAAACAAATTACAATTGTTACAGATCAAGCTTAGAGACATAGAATTAGAAAAAAAACACGTTCATGCATAGAAAATACAAACATAAATTCTTTGCCCAAGGAAATAGAGCTGGATCCCACCTTGCCTCCCAATTGAAAGCACGTATGTGCCGTACAAAAATTTAATACATCCTATACAATCTCACAGATGACCCCCAGGTCACCACATCTTCAATAAAGGCTATCCAAAACATTTTAGATATAATGGAGCTCCCCAGGCTACTGCCAGAATCGCTTGGTCACCTCTCAGAGCCTTTCAGCTGTCTCAAAGAAGAAAGGGCCATCAAAGAGCTACCAGCTCATAATGCTCCAGACCCAGATGGTTATCTATTCACAGGTAGATGCACGCAGAAAATGTATGTATAGGTTGTACCTCACCCCTACAAAACTTCACAACATTTCCCCTACTGTTTCTAACATGTGTTGACAATGTGGGGCACATAGGGTGGTCATGCTCTAATATTTAGCCATTGTGGGACACAGAACGAGACCTATTCGCTAGCCCATTTACTAACTCAATACAAGCGAACACACACACTTGATTATTTCTCCTCCTCTCAACTACACTCCCTAATGCTTCTAAGCAGCTCGGAGCCACTGGAAACAACAAAATGTCCCACTAAAACTCAACTCATAGATAAAGTACAACAATACTATACCTCCGAATGCATGTCATTAGATTCTCCTTCACAGTTCCAGCATTTCAAAGATGCCTAGCAACTGTGGATTAACCTTTCTAGAGAATTGACTTAAAGTTATAATTAAAAAAATAAAATAAATTATAGGCCCAACAGGATTCACACACTGGGGACCACCACAGACCCGCAACTCGCTGGGTGATCCTCGATAATTGTTTATGCATATCACCTCTTAGGTTCATATCCGAGTACTAATAAATGGAAATCTGAAAACCAGGTTCCCTTCTCCCCCTCTCCTTTTTTTCTTTCTGTATCCTACCCCATCTCTGCAAAGCAAAGGGAAGGGGGGACTTTTTTTTTTTTTTAAGTTAGCAGCCACAGGCTGCTCCCTGTTTAATAGACAGGCCCTTACTCGCGGTATAGCCGAGTAGGGGCATAATTTACTAATACTAAGTAATATTTAAATTTAGGTCTTTGAGCCTTTTAGTAGATAGCTACCTAATACCGTGGGAATTAGGGAGTTATCTACTTATTCATTCCTGTCATTACATTGATAGGCTAAGTAACTTACATTTTATATGAATGTGTTACTTGATTGTTGTAAGTGTTGCAAATGCTTACAGCTGAGTCCTGGCTATATTTGTATACTTTTTATTTAAAATTGTATATGGTGTAACATTCTTCATTCTTTCACTGGGTAAGTATATTAGTTCTTAGGCAATACTGTGCTTCGGAACTTCGGCACTTTGACACTTCGGAACTTTGGCATCTTAGGAACTTCAGCACTTCGGAATTTCGGCACTTCGGAAATTCGGTAATTTCGGAACTTCGGGACTTCGACAATTCGGCAAATCATCTATTCAGACATTCGGAAGTACCCGAATGTCCGAATTTCCCGAAATTCTAATAACTAATTGCACATGTCTATCAGCCAGTCTATTCAATTTACTAGGCATATGTCTGGCTTGAGACAAATATTAAATCACAAACCTTTAAGAACCAACCGCCTAAGCCAATTGATTACCTTCAATTACCTTCAACCTTGATTACACTTAGCCTTTAATGAATTGATTACCATGACTACACTTAAATTGTCACATGTGTCAATCAAACGCCAATCTCTCCACTCTTCCCCCATATGTATGTAGCTGCTACTATAGGAAACAATTACAACAATGTTAAATTCTTTGTTAACCCTTCCTGCACCCACGACCATTCTTGCGCACACCACTGGCCACTCCAATATATACTGAAACCAATGGCACCTGCTGCATCTGTGAACAGCTCCAGACTGTCAAATCTGTCTGTTTTAATTCTCGTTACTCTAACGTGCGCAAAGTGAGATTTGATGTTTGCCATTGTCATACCCAATTTCCTAGAAAATGCTACCCTCATTGGAATCACCCTAATGCAAATGTCCACACACCTAATAATGACTGTAGCAACTTTAAGGTCACTTTTCCTGTTGAATCAGCATCTTCATCCTTGATACTTTTCTTCCGGCAACCTAAACTCCATATTTGATGAATCAATGATTATACCAAGGAACTGTAAAGAACAAGTGGGTAATACCGTCTTATCTGCAGCCACAGGGACACCCGATTCCTATGTCATTTTTAGAAAACGTTCTAATAAATGTTTACAGTTACCACTATCTTTAGTGCCCACAAACAGAAAATCATCCAAATAATGCATTATCTGTTTCCAACCGGATTCATACTTAACTATCCACTGAATGAAATGCCTCAAATATGGACAAACAAAGCACCACCCATTGGTAAACACTTATCGAAATACTTTCCTTCAAATTGAAAACCCAAAGAGTTAAATGACTCCGGATGAATTGGTAATAACCCAAAAGCAGATTAAAATATCTCTTTTTGCCTTCAGTGCTCCCCATTCTCCCCTTTCTAACTTCAACGCTTTATCCAGGTTACATAAGACACTGAACTTTCCATTTAATGATTCACCTTTTGGATATGACATGCGATGTCCTAATCTATAAGCCTCTAGTTCCTTCTTTGATACTAAACCTAATGAGGATAACCTATTAAAATGGGGGAGGGGGATCGAAAGGGCCATAAATTCTATCTAACTTTAACTCCTTAAAATCTTCTCCCATGCTGTATATGGCAACTCTAAAACCGATTTAAAATTTAAACCCACTCACATTGAACCGAACTATATACAGTAAAATGAAGTCTAGTTTTCACCAAATTTGGATATATTTCTAGATAAAGCAGTAATGTTTTGAAACAACAAAATTAGGGTGTACACCAGAGCACGTACACATGACGGAATCTACAATTACTTAACTGTTTACATTGAGATTCATTACATGTCCAACAAAACTCTTTTTTTTGTGTGTGTATTATTTGTACTAACCTGCCTGTTAGCATAAGTTGTCAATCTCTGAGGTCACATCATGTTCACCCAGAGCCCAACATCTTTCATACCCCACCTCAAGTTACTATGAACCTCTAACTTTTGACAGAAGTGTTCGTCATAATAAAACCATGCTAAGCCCCTGTAATATTTTTTTATATATATAAGTTTCCCAAATAGCCTCTGTATGCTAAAATAAATCGAAACAAAATTTGGAATACTTCGCCTAACACACTGTAAAAAATGAAAAAGGATTGAAGCCAATTGTTAAGAGACCCGAGTAAAATTTTTCCCGTCTTCATCCCTATTCTACTTAGTAAACTCTTTTTATGTAGTAACAGCAAGAGGATATCACTGTAATCTCCCTTTATATCCTATCTTTTATTGATTTGCTTAAATGAAACCCAGAGGGGAGCTTTCACACTGTAATATTCAAGATTCTTTCACTCTAACCTCCTCTCTCACAGACTGCGTGACTTTAGGACTAACTGTGATGGTTTCCTTGCCTTGGTCCTAAGCTTTCACTAAACTAAGTGTCTGTAATAATTTAGTAATCTTTTCAAGTGAGGAAACTACCTCACCTAAAACAGCATTATGCACAGTTTTTTTGTGACTCACCCAGCTCATGACTGTAACCCATGAGCCCTGCACCTAATGCCAACCTCGCGCTACCTCTAAAATTAACCTTTTGATACTTACCCACAAACCTCCGCTCCATCAAACCCCATGAGGCTGCTCCTTATGTGTCCGCCCCCGCCTGACAGGACTTTCCTAATGGTCTTCCCCTTGTAAACTATGTTTTCCTGTAACAAAACTGAAATATGCTTATTAATACCATATGTTTTCCTGTAACAAAACTGAAATATTCTTATTAATACCATGCTTATTCCTTTTATCAAAAAAGAAAAAGGAATACACCCGTTGGACCTACCAGGTGTATTGGTCCAGGACTTAACCCTTAAGTCAACTATAGAAATAATTTGCAGCTCCCAAAAGAAAACAGATGGGAACTGCTACCTGGTATAGAAGTAAAACAGAAGGTAACCTTATAATGCATACCTAGTACTAGTAAAATACATGGCCAGTGAAAAATAATAATAAAAAAGGCATTACTGATCTGTCTAGTGATCACTTAGACACCCAGTTATCAACGAGCCCCTCCTATATTATTATTATTAATATATACTGCATATATTAATAATAATATAGGAGGGGTTAGTTGGCCCTTTTTCTACGCCTCCTCTTTCATTGATATCTAGGAGTTCAAGTGATCACTAGACAGATTAGTAATGCCTTTTTTTATTTAACTTGTTAAGCATTATAAGGTTACTTTCTGTTCTATTTTCTATACCAGGTAGCATTTCCCTGGTTTCTGTTTTCTTTTGGGAACTGGAAATGATTTCTATATCTATAATATCATTCTTTGCACTTTTAGTTATACTAGAAAATATAACTGAAACAAACAAAACAAAGCCAGTATCAGTGTAAGTGAAGGTCTGAAGTAAATATCCTTCATTGTTGTCTATACCAAAACATTATTCTCTAAATCGTTGTTTTTTGTTCATGTTGACAGGAAGCAAGCTGTGGCTTTGTCATCATTCTTATGGCATTATTCTGGTGCACTGAAGCCCTCCCCTTGGCAGTTACTGCCCTGTTTCCGGTGCTGCTCTTTCCTATGATGGGCATCATGGACTCAACCGCGGTAAGTTCACTCATGAGAAATAAAGAAAAGGACTTACCCATGAGCTTGAAAATATTAGTAAACATCAGATTTCTTTATTAATAGTTGTGTCTCATCAACTTACAAACCTGCTTATTGCTTAATTTTATCTGAGATGAACTGAGCCTTGTCACATGTTCTTGGAGTGGCCTGTTTGCCAGCCTCCTGCCTCAGGACTGTGGGCCATGTGAAAAGGCTCATAAAAGACCTTGTTCGTGCCTTTTTGCTATTCTGTTCGGTAGATTGCATTCCCCTCCTATTCTAACAGTCCTGTTCGACTACCGAACAATGGCACATACCAGGGACCACCCAGGAGCTTGTTAACACCTATTAACACCTTGGAACACTTCTCACTGCAGTGTTCTAATTATTCGTCTGGGTGGCTGCAATTCCTATGGACAACTACGAGGTGGCGGCCATCTTGTTCGCATGAATGCAGGCAGCGGTGTTTGGGCATGAATCTCATGGAACTAAAATCGGACACGGAAACTCCCAAACACCGCTGGACTTCCATCAAAAATAAGACTTCATGGAAATTCCTGAACATCTGAACTGATCTGGGTGATTTTGGGATTTTTTATGTTGGTCACACAGATCAGGGCTATCATGGGATGTAACTTTTGTGGGAGTTTTGTAGGTTTTAAGGTATTTTGGGGGTTTGTAAAAATGTGTGTTTTTTGTATTTGGAGATAATTGAGTTTAGTATAGTGCTTGACTCAATTATCTCCCAGGCATAGGGGAGGGATTGACCTATTTTGTATGGGAGTGTCCTGCACCTGAGAGCCAATGTGATTGTGTATTTATTTCTACTGTGGTTTACTCTCAGGTCCAGGAGCGAGTGCTCCTTGCATGGGGACTGTCTTAAAAGGCCAGTTGTGGCTACCATTAAACTGAGATTCGTTTTACCCTTCATGAAGTCTAGACTCATGTTTGGGGGATTGGAGAGCTATATTCACTCTGGGGATTGCTATAATCACTATACTCCATTGGATCACAATGATTGCTCTTGTAAGAGCAGCCTGCTTCGCTCTCTGGACTAGGAGAGGTCTACCCACTGAAAACTGGATCCTGGTCTTGGGTCCAGGGTGGGTGGAGGACAGCAAAACCCCAACCATGCTGCGGCGGTTTGTGGGGTTTATGGTGGTTATGGTGTTCCAGTGCATGGTGCTCGCAAGTACTAAGAAGCAGCGATTGACAAAGGTACCCGGTCGGGGTGCCAGGCAATCCGTCACAATTTCTATAGCAGCTCAGCTAACCTACAGATTAGGAACATAGGCCTTGATTTAATAAGCTTTATAAATGATTCGATATTGTTAAAAAAAATTCCAAATGATTTATCTACAAAAATTCCTGTATACTTTAATGCTGATTACTGTAGACAAATCAAAAGTTTTTTTGTAACAATATTAAATCATTTGGAAAGTTTATAAATCGAGGTCAAAGTAAGAAATTCACTCGTGCTGAGTTTGCCCATGGACTTTCCAGGCTTGCAGTTGCATATGACTTTTAAGGCCTGACTAGTAGTTACTGTCCTAGTTATCTAGGTTGATCTAAAAAAAAAAGGTAGAAAACCCAGTGTGAGGCAATTTCCAGTTGTTCCCTACTAATGTGGGAAACCCAAACCCAAAATTCCAATTCCTCCTAGATGTGACAGCCTCCCAAAGGGTTATTTTGGGGTTCTTTATCCTTGTCTTAACGTTTTTTGTTTGCCAACCTTATACGAATATTTGCTCTCTAGGTGAGATGATGCTTAGCTTCTCTTGCAACTTTCATGTTGGTATCAAGGAAATCTCTAAGTTCGCCAAAGAACGAAATAAGAGAGAACATTTATTATGGCTTTCCATTTTCTCAACTAATTTCCAAAAGTAATGAGGTATTCAATGGCATCCACCAATCTTCTGACCATAGACCATATGATGAAGCCGTATAATGGAACATGTAGAAACATGTACACCCTGTTTCTGTATTTAGGATTAGAATCTGCTAAACAAATTAAAAACTGATTTCATGAATTCCAAAATTAAATCAACCAAACTTTCTAATTACATGATTTAAGCATCAATTGACCAATATGAGGATTTGTGACATACAGAGTGCTAAGAAGATATACAAAGAACTAGAGACTCTTAGTGTTGAAGAATAGTATAAAAACCATCTGTACAGAGTACAGGACTGTAGGACAGCATTTCAAGAATTACTGAAGCTATTCTAATTGCAAGATGCAGTGATTATCTGAGTAAATTTGGTAATGCTTTAAATTTACCTAATAGAGAAATAGAAAATTAAGAAATAACTTAAATGTGCCTGTTTCAATGGCATTAAAAAAAAGATGGTTCAATGGTTATGGCGCTTACAGTTTCTCTTACAGCTCTCTCAAAGTGGCAGAATATATTATTAGATACTAAATGTAGATTTAGTCAATAGTATTGCTATGTTAGGCTTGGCTTGTTGGAAAATAAAAAACGTGTCCGATAAAAAAATACACAGTTTGTTTTGTCTGTGTTATTCATTTTTATACATCTATAGATCTTCTATATCTTTTGTGTTTGCTAATCCCTTATATTTAAGATCTATAGATGTATAAAAATGAATAACACAGACAAAACAAACCATGTATTTTTTTATCGGACACGTTTTTTATTTTCCAACAAGCCAAGCCTAACATAGCAATACTATTGACTAAATCTACATTTAGTATCTAATAATATATTCTGCCACTTTGAGAGAGCTGTAAGAGAAACTGTAAGCGCCATAACCATTGATTGAGGGTCCCTTGATGTATGCAGCCAGGTCCCACTCTGCAGCTTAGGTTAATGTTTCCTTGTTAGACTGAGCAACGATGGGCAGCAGGCTAATAGCTTTTGCTGCACGCCAATTGGTTATATGAGTTGGTATGACTAATGCCGAATTACACTTTGTTTTAAGCCTGCATCCAGTGGGAGGCTGAGCCTTGGGCCCCTGGGGACCCTCAGTCCAGTTTAAAACGGTTTTACACTAAACCATAGGACAGTACATGGTTTTACACTAAACCATATGACTGTACCAGAGGACTACAGCCAACATCACCACTTTAATCAGATGAAGTGTTTATCGTGCCTAAAGAGTTAAAGCCACCATAACCACTTCAATCAGATGAAGTGGTTATCGTGCCTAGAGAGTTAATTTAATGTAAATGCTATGTGCTGTTCCCTCAAGCTTTGTGTATAAATGTTAGTCATTTTTGCTATGTTCTGTTCCCTCAAACTTTGTGTATAGATGTTGGTCATTTTAGAAGCATCTGGAAGATATGAACTTGTTTAGATGATATATTTTGCTGTAAAGGTGTAACATTGAAATAAACACATAAGAGCATAAGTACAATACAAAATACCAAAGAATTCCCATTTTAAAACTAGTTAGTGTTTTGTGTGACCTCCATTACAACATGTAAGTAAATTTAAAGAATCTGGGTGACACAAACACAGAAAATGCAGTGAAAGACCTCAAAACTGCTCTGCATGTTACAAGCACATCTCTCTTGAGGGACAGAAGAATATCAAGTGATATACAAGTATAGAACATGCTAGACAACTATACTTTGCCCACATGGTATAATAAACACCACTTGACCATGGCATTGGGTATACAAGCTCTTTCATCTCTTATATGAGGTCAGTGGTAAAGAGCAGATGCATTGGATATTATTCAGTATTTATTAGAATCATTTATTTATATGTTGATAGTTCTACAGCGATACATACATTATATAATGTGTGTAACTTGCAGTTATAGTTATAGCTTAAAACCCCAATGCAGAGAGAGTTCAGGCACACAGATTCCATCATACTGCAGACTGGAATACTGGAATAAGCACATGACAACATTCCAACTGATATGGACAGCCTTGATGATATCTTAAAAGACAGACACAATCAATCAATCAATTTATATTTATTTATCTTTATATTCCAGGTGTGCAGTCAATACCTGAAAGACACTAACATGCTGTTTATTGGAGGGCTCCTGGTCGCAATATCTGTTGAAAAATGGAATTTACACAAGCGTATAGCCCTGAGGGTGCTTTTGATCGTTGGAGTTAAACCTGCTCTGTAAGTTTTCTATTAGGCAACAGCTCTTAGCCGTCACTTGTTGTACAATCATTCCTTTTGCCAGGTTAGCAGAGGCACTCCACCAATATTTGTACAAAATTTGCCTCCCCCATTTATACAAAATTAAAGGGAAATGATACGAACCAAGATTTTTTCGGTATTCATTTCCTTTATTTAAATTTAATCCATTCTACCACAAAGCTTCTGATATGATTGTTTTCACTTGAAAATTCAACACTTTTTATCATCATAATTAATTTAAGTTTACTATGGCACAGAAGGCACCACACTGGGCATGAATCTCTGATTTACAAGAGCCTGAACTGAAATTGATTGACACCCTGTCAGATTTACTGAAAATATGGTAATCTCTCTTTAACTTGATCCAAAATCCACAATGTAGCTAGTAGTGATTCAGTAGAGAATTGTGGAAAACACAGAGTATTCCAGGACGATGCATTCCCCCTTAATTAGCATAACCACGTGAAAAAATGTGTTAAATGGGTAAACCGTAAATGGTAAACTAGCTCACTGTGAAATTTTCTCTTTATTTTCACTATAACTTATTTTATTTATTTTCTAATCTATTTGCCCAGTGGATGCACAAGTACCGGTATGCATGAATTTCAGAAAGTAGTTCATATTAATACATACATTGTATGGGACTTCCTTTCTGATAGATTCCTTAGCTATTTAGAGCTGATTCCAAATCAGAACTCAGCTGAAGGAATTTAGCATCTGAATTGCATGAATACATCTCTGTTTTCACCAATTATGGCTAGGTAAGTCCAGAGTTTAATGAATCATTCAATTTGTACTCAAATTATAGAATTATTCATCTTGAAGTCACAGCTTGCTACATTTTTGTTCACATTATTTACATTCAGTTGATGATACCCAGTTCTAATTTTCATAGTGTTTCAATGAAGAAAATGAATGGTAACTCCTTCATATGGAAGCCATGTATTTTAATATTTTTCTGACTTGTTTTCTATAGAAAGCAACTTGTGATTTCTTGACATTACAAGTTGTTTTCTCAACATAACAAATCAGAAAAGTATAAAAAAATACATGACCTCTCTGGCCTTCCACATATGATGAGAGAATTCTGTTTTATCATAATACAATTAAAAAATAACTATCCTTTATGCCAGCTCAATGGTTAGGGATAGTATAGATGTGCTGATATTACAAAAAGTATAGTAAAATACTCAAAATTCTCAAAGTGAAGCCACACCGTGGTACTTTTCACCTCCCTTGGCATGATTGTTGGTCTACTCCAGAATAATGTACTTTGTATATGTGTCAAAGAGGATACCGGGTCACCAGCATATATGTACGAAACTTGCTTCTTACCCTTGATATATAGGTGAAAATGGATGTGAGCTAAGCATTTTTGTTATTTTTATGACATCTTGTGTGTGCGATTTGATAGTCCAAACCAAGAGGAACCAAGAAAGTCCATCACTATAAAAGTTGCTGCTCATTTTAAAATCAAATCCACATATCTTACTGTGTCCACTGGTTATAGGAAATCCATATAAGACAAACCATTGGTGGTGAATTTATGCTATTGATTTGTAGTGCCAATTTCCCATTTCAGGTTTCATTACAAATATAAAGTAAGACATTTACAATCCCATTTCTTTCTTCTGTAGACTAATTTTGGGTTTCATGGTGGTTACAGCCTTCCTGTCTATGTGGATCAGTAACACAGCCACAACAGCCATGATGATCCCCATAGCACAGGCAGTGTTGGAGCAACTTCACAGCTCAGAGGAAGAACTGGATAGGAATCCTAAAGAAAATTCTATTAACACCAGCGAGAAAAAGGAGTCTCCACTGAATGGGATTGTGAACCAGAGCTTTGAGCCTAATAGGAACCAAGAACAAGCTTTTGAGATGAAAGAGAGCAGCTCCTTAGATCTGACCACCACCACAAGTCAAGAAAAAGAAAGTAAGTATCTTCAAAAACTAAAGCTAAATCACACATTGAAATTGTACCCCCCGATTCAGTGATTTTTTGTTTGCTAAATACATGTCCTGACCCTCTAGAGGTCACGTTTATAGCAACAAATATTAAGTCAGTATTCATATCCAGGGTCGAAGCAGCCTGCCCTGGTTTTTGGTAAGGAAATTAATTTTTAGAAGTCATTTTGTTAAAAAAGCTCTTTAAAGGTTTACCAGTTTTAAAGAGGCATTCCAGCCACGATAACCACTACAGGTCATTGTAATCTTTATGGTGCAAAGGGTCTGTAAGCTCCGTTTGTATATTTGTTAAAGCATTATATATATATATATTTATGTATATATATATATATATATACATATATTCTATTCACACATATATATTCTAATTATGCATTGTTAATATAACTTTTTCCTTGGTTGATTAGTGTCCGGTGCTGGAGTACTCAGCATTTTCTTATTTGTGTTTTGCAGACAATGGCACCATTGTTGTTGACTTTGATGACTACAAAAACAAGCAATTGGACAGGCTTGAGAAGCACATTAAACTCTGTAAAGGCATGAGTCTGTGTGTGTGTTATTCTGCAAGTATTGGGGGCATTGCCACACTTACTGGCACCACACCCAACCTTGTCATGAAAGGACAAATGGACGAGTAGGTACTAGGATGGTTCAGAAGAAATAATAAATCATTTGAAAAATGCTTATCCAAAAATATTACATCAACTCCTTGTGTGTGTTTGTGTTCATGGTTGTGAACATTGTTCTTATTTAGGCATGCTAAAGGGAAAAGGTGAAATCTATATCAAATTATGAAAATACAACACATGGAGTATATTCACACACTACATATATTCACATGGCATCCATTCATTAGCACTGCAATCATGCTCTCACTCTGCGTTAATTCATTGATATATTACATTCATACACTATTGACACATGATATTCATATGATAGAATATCAATTACTTATATATTATAGTTCTTTTTAATACCTGTTATTATTTAGCCCTTTTACCATTTTCAATAACTCTGTCGATATCCGTCAATATGTTGTACCACCTTACCTAATTTATATATTTTTTTGGTGGTGGGGGCAAGACAAGGATTTGTCTGAGAATTCTGTGCCTATCAGCACTGGGTCATGTATATGAATATAGATTAAAAAAAAACAATTTCTCTTTGCTACATCAGTCAAATGTGTTTCTTTCCTAGGCTTTTCCCGAAGAATGATAATGTAATAAATTTTGCCTCGTGGTTTGGATTTTCCTTCCCAACAATGATTGTTTTACTTGCCCTTTCCTGGATCTGGCTTCAGATTATGTTTCTGGGAATTAAGTAAGAAATTTATTTTTTATACCTGTAATGTCACTAATCTTCACTGAAGTACCCCAGATATACCATAGTAATTTCAATGGCAGATGATGTCTTTCCTATGAAGCCCATATTAATGAATGCTATAGGCCTATTTTTATTGAGCTAATAATAATAATACACTTTTAGCATAGTTTCTTAATGACTTTGTATCTCTTAATACATTTTAGACCATTTCCCTAGCTTACCCTTTAGACCAAGCAGCATGTCAAGGAAAAAGCAGACCTCTGTCCCTCTTTTGGAAACAAACAAAACTGTTGGAGATACAAATCTCCCTGCGTCTCTTTTTTATCATTATGTCCCTCTTATTAGATCACATACATAGTGATTTACAGGTTGTGAAGCCTGCTCAAAATTCATAGTTATGTCCAATGCCTCTTTTTACCATTTTTTCCCTTAGGCTTAGACATCTTTAGTTAGGGTACAGAGAATGCACATATAGTGAAATTAGTTTTCTTTAGATAATAAGTGTTAAAATAATAAATATGTATTTGAATAATAATTTAAAGGACCACTATAGTGCCAGGAAAACAAACTCGTTTTCCTGGCACTATATAGTCCTCAGGGCCCCCCTCTTGCTGGGCTGAAGGGGTAAAAACCCCTTCAGCCACTTACCTTAATCCAGCACCGGGCTCCCTCGGTGCTGGTGATCTCTACTCCCCCTCCAACGTCAGCTCCCGAGTGGAGCCCAATGCGAATGCGCGGCCAGAGCCGCGTGCGCATTCAAACCGCCCATAAGAAAGCATTACTCAATGCTTTCTTATGAATTTTCTGCGTGCTCAATGTGATTTTCGCATTAAGTGTCACGGAAGCGCCTCTAGCGGCTGTCAGGAAGAGAGCCACTAGAGGCTGGATTAACCATTAAACATAGCAGTTTCTCTAAAATGGCTATGTTTACAGCTACAGGGTTAAAACCTGGGGGACCTGGCACCCAGACCATTTCATTAAGCTAAAGTGGTGTGGGTGACTATAGTGGTCCTTTAACTTCCATCTCCTGAACCACAATTTAACTTCCATCTCCATTTTAACTTACATGTCTTGACTATGACATTACAGTATTCAATTCACATGTTAAAAGGTAACATTTTATTGATGACTATTACATAAAAGTGTTATCTTACATGTGTTTCTCCCAGGTTTAAAGAGAATTTTGGTTGTGGCAAGAACCCAGAGCAGAAGGAAAAAGAGAAGAGAGCTTACGGGGTAATCTCCTCAGAACACAAGAAGTTGGGCTCCATGAGTTTTGCAGAGATCTGTGTGCTGGTTCTGTTTATTCTTTTAGTGATCCTGTGGTTCACACGGGCACCGGGCTTCATGCCAGGCTGGGCAACAATCAGTTTTAACAAAGATGGCAAAGAGTGAGTGTTTGAAGTGCACCAGTCCTATCCCTACATCATTTTCAATGAGATTTATCAGGGCAAAAACAGTTGTTGTTGTGGGGCAAAGTGTTAAATAAGGTGCCATTGCCATTGAAACCAATAGAATGATTCTCACCATTTAGCATTTTGAATCAGGAATAGAACCTGTTTTGCCTTGATAAAATATCACTAGTTATCTATACTTATCTAAAAATGTGTACTGTTTAGAAGGTGCATTGTATTAGATATAATACGATTTAGCAAATTAGAAAATCCCAATAATACACCAATCAGGAGAAGTAGGATAAAACCTAATTAATCTGAAATACAAATGCATTGTTAATAATAGTGAAACCTCAACTAAGGGATTGTATTGTATTAAGAAGATAACTTTGTTAAAGGACTACTCTAGGCACCCAGACCACCTCAGCTTAATGAAGTGGTCTGGGTGCTAGGTCCCTCTAGGGTTAACCCATTTTTTTATAAACATAGCAGTTTCAGAGAAACTGCTATGTTTATAAATGGGTTAATCCAGCCTCCAAAGCCTCTAGTGGCTGTCTCATTGAATTATGAATTCTTTCCTATGAGACAGGCTGAATGCGCGCGCAGCTACTGCCGCGCATGCGCATTCAGCCGAAGAGGAGGATCAGAGGCGCAGAGGAGGAGGAGAGCTACCCGCCCGGCACTGGAAAAAAGGTAAGTTTAACCCCTTTCCTCTCCCCAGAGCCCGGCGGAAGTGGGACCCTAAGGGTGGGGGCACTGTCAGGGCACTATAGTGCCAGGAAAACGAGTATATTTTCCTGGCACTATAGTGGTCCTTTAAGAGTAAAATAACTGAACTGGTCTGAAAAGTGAATAAGTGCACAGTGATTATGTAATAATGTAATCATTGTTTACTTTTTGGACCAGTTTAGTTATTATCTTCTTAATAAAGTTATTTTCTTAATACAACATAATTCTTGGTGTCTTCCTTTAGTTACGGTTTATTTGTATAAGAAGATTTTGCACTGATGCACACATATTGACTGGCCAATCATACTGTCAGTAAATTGCCAACAGGGAAATATGAATTTAATTCACATATTAGCATTTGCAGGTTCCAGAACAGGAGGTAATCTGAATATATTAACTGCTGGCCCTTGTTCAATGCTTATTACTATAATCAGTATCTATCTTGTATATTCTCTTCCAGGCACTTCTGTAACTCATTGGAGCGATGAAAGGAGTTACAAAGTGTGTTTCTGCAACTCATTCAGGCTAGACGATCAACCACGCGTTTTATGATTTTTTATTAACAATATTACAAAACAATTCTGCAGAAGAATTGCAAATCTCACTCAGAAATGTTGCTATAGTAACCATTTTACATGGGCGTAGAATAAGTGATATGTTTGTAGCAACTGTTTGGAACCTATTGTAAAACAAGAGTGCTTAAAAATGGTTCCAACCCATAGCTAAACACAATTATTTATGCAGTATAGTAAACGGTATTAGCTTATGTGTTTTGGTAGACACTGCACTGCATTAATGTCTTCACTCATTTCTGTTACCTTTACCAGCTACGTCACAGATGCTACAGTGGCGATATTCATTTCCCTTATGATGTTCTTATTCCCATCCGAGATGCCATCATTTAGATTTAAGGATACAACACAGCCAGGTAAATACCAGCTGCAGTTTGTTTCTTAGTCCATGTGTATACCATGTACAAAGTTATGATGAGTTGAAATATGTTATTCTGAAAGATGTAATGTTTGGGTGATGGAAGCACTCACAAGATACACAGTCAAATCGTCAGTTTAGTAAGATCGCTGCTTTCATTCCTAATTGTGGACCTTTTGCACCATATGTTTAGCTATGTCAGTGCTTATTGACTAAGCCCTTCCACTAACAGAATCCAACTTTTATAATTTTTTGTTCAGCTAGCACTCCATACTTTCTACCACTTTACCCAAACTGTTGTATGCTGAATATTTCCACTGTAGTTTTTACATTATATTTAACACCGGAATGAAGATGAAGATCTATTCTAGACAGCTTTTGGGCCAACACATGATGTTTCTGTTTTCTTCCCACTGGAAACATCCATCACAGGGGCCCTATTTGGTTACCTTTGTTTGAATTGTTGCCAAATCACTAAATTTTAGGAAAACAAATGTCAGACTCTATTATGGATTCATTCAAGCCTAGTAATGATCCAAGAGCACCTGCCTTGCTAAGACTTCTCATTGAGCTGCATTGGGAAGTCTGTGATTGGACAGCCACAGAAAGTCTTGGCGAGGTTAGAAAGAGAGGGCTTGCAAACAGGGCCAGTACTACCATAAGGCGGCACAAGCGTCCGCCTTACGGTGCACCAACCCGAGGGGTGCAAAAATGTCCGAGTGACCGGCGGGAGCATGGAGAACTTCTCTTCCACCGGTCACTTTCTGCAGCAATGCCCATGGCAGTAATTTACTCAGCTGGCTGTGTGATGGAGGGGGAAAACGTGCAGCCACTGAGGGAGGGGGGTGGAGCAGTGAGGAACGACTGCAGCCAATCTCTTAATGAGCTAAAGGTCCGCTGGGATATGTGACATCATATCCCAGCGGCTAACTGCTGTGGAGATTGGAGGAAAACTACTACAGTGCAGCGGGAACTCTGTTTTACCAATTATATGAAACTGTGTGTGTGTGTAAGAGACTGTGTGTGCGTGTTTGACAATAAGCAGTGTGTGAGTATGTTAGAGCCAGTGAGTGTGTATAATCAGTGTGTGTGTGTAAGAGTTAGTGTGTGTGAGTTAAAGCCAGTGTGTGTGTATAAGCAGTGTGTGTGTGTGTGTGTGATGTATAAGCTGTCCTGAAAAAAAGATTGTAGATCTTGAAGATGATGGACATATGATGCAGATTAAGGACACATTTTTAAATTGTTCTTTTATTGTTGTTGACTTTTTACTATTTTGTTTTGTTTTCTTTCTTTTGTTGAGAAAGGAAGGAGATGTGATGTATGGACTGTTGGGCTGGTATGTGTGTGTGAGTGTATGTATTGTGATGTATGGGCAGTTGGGCTGTTGTTGGCTATGAGTGATCTAGAGGCAAAAGCCACTGGCCTATCTGTCCCATCAGCCATGGAATGAGACAGGACTGCTCCCAGTCCTTAAGGTGATGCATCACAAGCAATGGAAACAGGCTTTTCCAAGTCGTAGTGTACTAAAAGACGTGAACTACGCACTAGTTCTTTTGACTTATGGAAAGCTGAAGCACATTCTACTGTCCAGGCCCATTGTCGTTTACTCTCTAGAAGCCGATGTAAAGGGTACAGGACATGAGCTAAATGTGGCAAAAAACGGTTGTAATCATTTAACAGACCAAGATAGGACCTTAGTTGTGTAAAATTTTGTGGAGTTGGAACATCCTGTAATGCCTTGACCTTCTCATCTGTTGTATGCAGCCCATGTTTGTCAATTACATGAGCACAAAATTCAAGACGATCCTGCATGAATTGGCATTTATCCAAATTTACCTTCAATCCATATTCCATAAGTCTTTGCAAAACTGCCTCTACATTCTGTTTATGTTCCTCCTCCGTTTTACTCGTCACCAGCATGTCATCTAACAGGCACTGTGTCCCAGGAATTCCAGATAACAGCTTGTACATTGTTCGCTGCCAGACAGCTGGTGCAGGTGAAATGCCAAAAACCATACGGTTATACCTGAATAGCCCCCGATGGGTATTAATCGTAAGTAGTGGTCGAGAATTTGGATGTACAGATAACTGTAGGTATGCATTTTTCAAGTCAATTTTGGTGAATTGCTGGCCACCTTTCAATGATGCGAAAATATCATCTACCCTAGGAAGGGGATACTTATCTATTTTAAGCTGTGTGTTAAGAGCCATGCGGAAATCCCCACAAATCCGTATCTCCCCATTTCGTTTTCTCACAGGAACAATGGGCGAAGCCCACTCACTATTGTGAACCCGGGAGATGATATTCAGCTCCTCTAATCTCCTCAATTCTGCCTCCACTCCAGCCCTTAGAGCAAAAGGCACACTTCTTGCTTTAAAAAAGTTTGATGTTGCTCCTTCCTTTAATTCCAAGGAAACTTGTTGTCCCTTTACAGTCCCTAATTGGCCATCAAACGCTAGTGCATACTTTTCCTGTAATTCCCTAATCCAGTCAAGTCTGATTTTCATTCAACACATGACATGGATACTTATGCACTTGAGGCATCCCGAGAGCCCTTATCCACTCCCTACCAAAAAATGGAGGTCCTCCATTCTCTAAGATATAGAGAGGTAGTTTCTTCTTACACTTGTTGAATGTAACTGTGGCTGTCACACAACCCACTGGTATTAACAGCTCTTTAGAATATGTCTGCAGTCTCGCTGTTGTCTGAATTATTGGCCTATGTATTTTAAGGCATTTCCAGTCTGTCAAAGAAATCACTTATACAGCTGCACCTGTGTCCAAATCTATAGTCAGTCAGGTTTCTCTGGGTGTAAGAGGCTCCTTAGCGTATCATACGTTCTGGCTCCTATAACTGTTAGGAAAACAGCGACCTGTTTATTGTCAGGAATGTCATTAGCTGTGAAATATTGTTCAAGCCTTTCAACCCAAGAGGCCCATAAATCCGAGTCAGGATCAAAGTCCTTTATAGTGCCAATGGCTGCCATGTCAGTTTGGGTTCTACAGCCTCGTCGCCACTCTGATGTTTTGTACAAATAAGCCAATAATTCCTGTATAACGAAGTACTCCCTTTATTAATACATATATAACAGCATCTTCATATTGCAGCCTTGTTTCTGCAGCCGCTATTTCAAATCTCTGGAACATTCATAGAAACATAGAAACATAGAATGTGGCGGCAGATAAGAACCATTCGGCCCATCTAGTCTGCCCAATTTTCTAAATACTTTCATTAGTTCCTGACCTTATCTTATAGCTAGGATAGCCTTATGCCTATCCCATGCATGCTTAAACTCCTTTACTGTGTTAACCTCTACCACATCAGCTGGAAGGCTATTCCATGCATCCACTACCCTCTCAGTAAAGTAATACTTCCTGATATTATCTTTAAACCTTTGTCCCTCAAATTTAAGACTATGTCCTCTTGTTGTGGTAGTTTTTCTTCTTTTAAATATAGTTTCCTCCTTTACTGTGTTGATTCCCTTTATATATTTAAATATTTCTATCATATCCCCCCTGTCTCGTCTTTCCTCCAAGCTATACATGTTAAGATCCTTTAACCTTTCCTGGTAAGTTTTATCCTGCAATCCATGAACCAGTTTAGTAGCCCTTCTCTGAACCCTCTCTAAGGTATCAATATCCTTCTGAAGATACGGTCTCCAGTACTGTGTACAGTACTCCAAGTGAGGTCTCACCAGTGTTCTGTACAATGGCATGAGCACTTCCCTCTTTCTACTGCTAATACCTCTCCCTATACAACCAAGCATTCTGCTAGCATTTCCTGCTGCTCTATTACATTGTCTGCCTACCTTTAAGTCATCAGAAATAATCACCCCTAAATCCCTTTCCTCAATTGTTGAGGTTAGGACTCTATCAAATATTCTGTACTCTGCCCTTGGGTTTTTACGTCCAAGATTGTGCATCACTCACAGGCAACAACAGCCCAACTGCCCATACATCCCAATACATACACTCACACACTCATACACAGCCCAATCGCCCACACATCACAGGGTGTGTAAGAGTTAGTGTGTTTGTTTGAGCCAGTGTGCGTGTGTAAGAGTTAGTGTGTGTGTGTGTTAGAGCCAGTGTGTGAGTCTATAAGCAGTGCGTGTGTAAGAGAATGTATGTGTGTTAGAGCCAGTGAGTGTTTATAAGCAGTGTGTGTAAGAGACTGTGTGTGTGTGTGTGTGTATAAGCAGTGTGTGTAAGAGTTACTGTGTGTGTTTTAGAGCCAGTGAGTGTGTGTGTAAGAGCCAGTGTGTGCATGTGTGTCTGTATAAGCAGTGTGTGTAAGAGTTAGTGTGTATGTGTTAGAGCCAGTGAGTGTGTGTGTGTGTGTAACAGTCAGTGTGTGTAGGAGCCTGTAAGTGTGTATAAGCAGTGTGCGTGTGTGTAAGAGTTAGTGTGTGTGTGTGTGTTAGAGCCAGTGTGTGTGTGTAAGAGTTAGTGAGTGTGTGTGTTAGAGCCAGTGTGTGAGTCTATAAGCAGTGCGTGTGTGTAAGAGACTGTGTGTGTGTGTTAGAGCCAGTGAGTGTTTATAAGCCGTGTGTGTATGTGTGTGTAAGAGACTGTGTGTGTGTATAAGCGGTGTGTGTAAGAGTTACTGTGTGTTAGTGTTTTAGAGCCAGTGAATGTGTATGTAAGAGCCAGTGTTTGTGTGTGTGTGTGTGTTAGTCAGTGTGTGCATGTGTGTCTGTATAAGCAGTGTGTGTGTAAGAGTTAGTGTGTGTGTAAGAGTTAGTGTGTGTGTTTGTGTGTGTGTGTTAAAGCCAGTGAGTGTGTGTGTGTGTGTAACAGCCAGTGTGTGTAGGAGCCTGTAAGTGTGTATAAGCAGTGTGTGTAAGAGTTAGTGTGTGTGTGTGTGTGTGTGTGTGTATGTAAGAGTTAGTGTGTGTTTGTGTGTGTTAGAGCTAGTGTGTTTATCTATAAGAAGTGTCTGTGTGTAAGAGACTGTGTGTGTGTTAGAGTCATTGAGTGTGTATAAGCAGTGTGTGTATACGAGTTAGTGTGTGTGTGTTAGAGCCAGTGTGTGTGTGTGTGTTAGAGCTAGTGTGTGTCTATAAACAGTGTGTGTAAGATACTATGTGTGTGTGTGTGTGTGTGTGCATAAGGACTGTGAGTGTGTGTGTGTGTGTGTGTGTAAGAGACTGTGTGTGTCAGAGCCAGTGAGTGTGTATAAGCAGTGTGTGTGCAAGAGTTAGTGTGTGTGTGTGTAAGAATTAGTGTGTGTGTGTGTGTAATAGTTAGTGTGTGTGTGCGTGTAAGAGCCAGTAAGTGTGTATAAGCAGTGTGTGTGTGTAAGAGACTGTGTGTGTGTGTTAGAGCCAGTGAGTGTGTAAAAGCAGTGTGTGTGTGCATTAGAGCCAGTGTGTTTATAAGCAATGTGTGTAAGAGTCAGTGTGTGTGTGTGTGTATGAGCATTGTGTGTGTAAGAGTTACTGTGTATGTGTGCTTTAGAGCTAGTGAGTGTGTGTAGGAGTCAGTGTGTGTGTGTTAGAGCCAGTGTGTGCGTGTGTGACTGTATAAGCAGTGTGTGTGTAAGAGTTAGTGTGTGTGTTAGAGCCAGTGAGTCAGTGTGTGTGTGTGTGTAACAACCAGTGTGTGTGTAAGAGCCTGTGTGTGTGTGTTAGAGTCAGTGTGTGTATAAGCAGTGTGTAAGAGTAAGTGTGTGTGTGTAAGAGTCAGTGTGTGTGTATGTGTATAAGCAGTGTGTGTATGTAAGTCAGTGTGTGTAAGAGCCAGTGTGTGTAAGAGCCAGTGTGTGTGTAATAGCCAGTGTGTTTATGTATAAGCAGTGTGTGTGTGTAAGAGACTGTGTGTGTGTGTGTGTGTGTCTGTGTGTGTGTGTGTGTGTGTGTGTGTGTGTGTGTAAGAGACTGTGTTTGTGTTTGTGTGTGTGTGACACAAGGGGGTAAAGAGACTACAAAATTAGGATGAACACACAAAAACATGAAAAGAATGCCAAACAGGGCATACAATATACAGAAAGCGAAAACGTGAAAGAAAAAGGTGACAAGATGCACCAAATGGGCAAAAGAATGGATAAGAGGGGCAAAAGAAAGCATATAAGACAGACAGGTGAAGATAAATTTTGAGGGCAGCAAAATGTGTCTTCGCCTGTGTAGACAGAAGTCCTTGCACTGGCCCTGCTTGCAAAGGTAGCAGACTACTGCAGGTTTTGCCAGAGGTTTTTAGATACACCCTCAATGAAAAAATGCATAATTAAATGCATGCACGTTTCATATTGGATATATTTACTAAACAGTGTTTTTTAAAATTTATCTTGCATTTGGGCAGTGGAGTGCCCCTTTAGGTTGGTACCAAGTTTTCTGTTCTTGGCCAGTTGGAGAAAGTATTGATTTGTTTAATACTAGAATTAACGCTAGTCAAAGAGCCTAACATTTTGTTCCCTTAAAAAATGTGGTGAATTAATAATGACTGAGATATTTTTATGTGTTGAGTTGGTACTGACACATATTTTTTGGCACAAATTATTACATTTTGTTTACTTGAGTTTTATTAGTGATAATGGCTTCTTAACAATTAACAATACATGTATCTATCATTGTTTTGGATACAAGGAAAGAAGCCTAAGATACATGTCCCACCTCCTCTACTAGACTGGGCCACCGTGAACCAGAAGATGCCTTGGAACATAGTCATCCTGCTGGGAGGAGGTTTTGCTTTGGCTAAAGGGAGTGAGGTAAGTCATTGGGCTATGAGTGAGGAAAATTGCATCAGTAGCAGTATTAGTTATAGTCAGTTAATCTCACATCTCATGTTCTAAAAATCACGAAATCTGGTAATGAAATATATATTGCTTACAGAGGGTGGATAGATGTATATCCCAAATTAAAGCAGGTTAGAATGGGGTCATTCAGTGCATTGTGTATGTGGGCAATGTGGGTGGCTGTATGAGGGTCAGAAAGGCAATAGATTAGCCCATGACTAAATGCTAATATGACTTTCCATGACATTCTGCAATAATGGAATCTGTACTTGAATTAATCACTTCCTTATTTTACTCAAAATGACTGTAAGGGACCATAGATAAGAAATCTGAAGATATATGCACAGAACTCTGCTAGGTCCAAAGGAATGGTTTAAATGCAGAAGAGGTCTTTAAAATTAGCCACAGTGCTCACAATGCATCAAGTATTCCATGCTTGACTTTAGGGACTTCAAATGAAACTTTCCTGCATCTACCATATAGATTTAAGTCCACTTTATGTCCACCTTATTTCCCTTTGATACCCTACGGCAGGCACAGGCAACCATCGGCACTGCAGATGTTTTGGACTACACCTCCCATGATGGTTTGCCAGCATTATGGGTGTAAAAGCATTATGGGGGATGTAGTACACAACATCTGGAGTGCCAAAGGTTGCCTCCCTCTGCTCTACGGCATCTAGCAGCAGTCAATGTCTCCCCAAAACCTGTACCAGAAACCCAGACATTCTCTTATACATGCCCTGTCATTCCTGCATAACTTCCTCTTTTTATTACACTACAACATTATTAAATACCTGCTACCCCTTATCCTCTCTGTTCATTTCACACTGCCTAAATCTCATGGCAGTAACTACAACCTGTCTTTCTCCCTCTTAAACTGCTAACCCACCTTATTATCCTATTATATTATCCAGATTTTGTGTAAGTAGTGTGTGTACGGTTGGATTTTCAGCTTTCTTTGCATTTATTCTTCCCATCAATGCCTCCTGGTCCTTCCTTCTTCTTTTGAGTTTTCATTCATTGATGGATTATTACATCAGTTCTATTTTCCATTATTTAAAGAACCATTCCAATTCATTTCCTAAGGGTAGTGTTTTATCTTCCTGTGTGCCTTTCTCTCTCTACACCAGTCCTCCTGGCCATGCTCCCATAACAAGTGCTTCCACAGTCTACTTTGCACTCTCAGCGTACACTCTACAAATCTCTTACACAGCACTTTGCTTCTCAACTTTAACTAGATACAGACATCACACCTGGTGATCTTTTAATTCCATCTGACACAACGGAAGAGATTTATCAAAGTGTTTTTATTTTTGGTTTATAATCTGTTAGTTTATAACATTCTGAAATACATAAATGGTCTAAAAAGTGTCTCTGTGGGGGGCGGGGCCGGACCGCCAGGCTGAATGGACGCAAAATGGAGTAGCTCCTGTAAAAACCTCCAGTTTTAGCCCCAAAAAAACAGCATCAAGCATACCTGACAACTGGCTGCCGAGCACCGGTGCAAGAGGCCACCCTGGTCCCGAGGAGAGGCTTGCTGAGCAGTTTTAGTCCCTCGGAGGGGCGATCCAAGTCACACGATGCGGACCGCTCGGGCGGTGAGCGAGGTGGACGGCCGCTGCCTGGCTATCCTGCCCACCAGTGGTAAGGAAGCAATCCGGGGTTAGACGGGTCTGGCTCCGTTCCCCCCCCTTTGGACCGGTGGGGGTGATCCCGGTCCCCACCCCGAGACCCATCGTACCACAACAAGGCCGGCGCTTGAAGCTGAGGCAGAGAAAGCCGTTTCCAAAATGGTGGAGACCACATGGCAAGTGACCCTGATAACAGCCGCGCGCACTCACCTCTCCTGCAGCCACACAGACAGACAGATCGCCGAGCCGGTCGGGGTGAGAGCCGACAGAGTGGGTGCTAAGATCCCATGAGCGGAGCGGCAGAACAACAAAAACAAAAAGAGCTGTCACTGCATACTGGTTTACCCTACCATACTAAGCAGCGCACCGAGAGGGAGTCGAAATGCCTGGACTGATCATTCACAGCAGACGGGATGCCTGCGATCTCTCACCAGCCCACGACAAACACCTGACAGACCAGCTAACAAGAGAATATCAGGAGTGCAGCAGGCACCTAAGCTTCTCCCACCAAAGAAACTATCCTCACTGAATAAAGACTGGTCTCCTGACAGGCAAACACAGACCCTTCGCCTGACCGACGTGGAAACCACCTGGGGTGGACATTTTACAGTCTAATCATAAGGGTTAAGGCTGCTTTAGAGTTTGATATAGCCACTCATGCTCTAGCCCAGCATAACCTGCAACCACTCTCACGAAGCTTAGGCAGCTAAGAAAGATGTCTACTCATTATTGTAATCAGCCTAATAAGAGCTCATTAACCAACATGCAAAACTTTATCATTAGCAGTTATCAACCACTTGAATGGTAATGTTGTATTATGCAGGGAACAATATGCATACTCATTTACTGCAGCCACTAGAATGTGACTGAGGCTAGCTTAAACAGTCAGTAAACTCGCTAACGAAGCAACAACAATCTACTTATGTGTGTAAGCATGGTCTAATTAATATATATGAATGTTACTCTAGTACTCTAAGCGTGATATTTTATAAAATTAAATGTGCTGAGAACTCCGTCATGATATTGTATACCAATGTAAAGCTTGTACTCGCTGTCGTGGCGCTACAGGCCTGTTTGTAAAAGTATGCACAAGAAAAATAAAGAATTATAAATGTAAAAAAAAATAAAAATAAATAAAATAAAAAAAAGTGTCTCTGTAAAAATAAATTATTCAATTTGTTGCAGAAAATATCCGTTTCAGAAAAGTGACAGAAAGATTGTTTCACCCAAAAAATGTCATCCATTCAAAAATAACTAGATCACGAAAAATGGAATGGCTGCAAAAACCATCAGATTTAATAACGCATGCCAAAAAAACCCACCGAAAACAAAACAGCCTGCAACAATTTGGCAAATCTGTAATTTTTTTTTCTTTTGTATTCCTCTACCCCACTTCCTCCTAGAATTTTACTTTCACCTCTTGTATCTGATGTTACATGTCCCCGTTGTATAATTGTAACGTGCTGCAGAACATATCAGCAATCTGAAAATGCAATTAGTAATACAAATAATGAAATGTAATAATTATTTCCTTCATCAGCAGAGTTCAAAGAAAGACATATTCATATATATATATTTATTTCAGGAATCAGGATTATCATTGTGGCTTGGGGACAAGCTGACTCCATTGCAAAACGTCCCACCTGCAGCGATAGCCCTCATTTTGTGTCTTTTGGTTGCTACATTCACTGAATGTACAAGCAATGTGGCCACTACTACTTTGTTTTTACCAATCCTGGCATCAATGGTAAGAATCTGTTCAATCTATGGACATTTAAATGAGATTGCACATTAGTAGGATCCTTTATGGTTCCAATGTCCCATACCAATCAGAGGAAGATGTTGGGAAAATGATGGCATGTACTGTGTATATGTGGCCGTACATGTGTAACATTAGTACTCTCCCCATTGTTCTGGTTGGATGAGCTACGTTCAGTCCCAAGGTAATTCACCAATTGCAGTTTTTGCTTCAGGATGATAGATTGAGAAGTTGATTTAAGCGTTACATGTTTAGACTGGAAGAAATGAAATTTAGTCTAAGGCAAAGGAGAGGTTTTTTTACAGTAAGAACAATAAGGTTGTGGAATTCTCTGCCTGAAGAAGTGGTTTTATCAGAGTCTGTACAGATGTTTTAACGGCAACTAGATGCATATTTGCAAAAACATAATTTTCAAGTATATAATTTTTTAATTGTAGGATAATAGCTTCTTGATCCAGGGATAAATCTGACTGCCATTCTGGGGTCAAGTAGGATTTTTTCCCTAGTTTGTTGCAAAATTGGAAGCGCCTCAAAATGTTTTTTTTTGCCTTCTTTTGGATCAACAGCAAATAAACAGATGTGAGGAAGGCTTGAAGGACATTTGTCTCTTTTCAGCCTATGTAACTATGTAACAAATATAGTTTGCAAGTGTATATTAAAGGGACACTATAGTGTTAACACCACCATCTAGCCCCCCTGGGCCCCTCATGCCTCCATAAATATAGTAAAACTCTTACTGTATTCAAGCCAGAAGCTGTAACTCTACATGCTGTTTGCCTAAAAAAAAAAACAGTCTGCTGACATCATCAGAAGTGGTAGCCTGATCCAATCACAATGCTTCCCCATAGGATTGGCTGAGACTGACAAGGAGGCAGATCAGGGGCAGAGCCAGCATGATTCAAACACAGCCCTGGCCAATCAGCATCTCCTCATAGAGATGAACTGAATCAACGAATCTCTATGAGGAAAGTTCAGTGTCTGCATGCAGTGGGAGTGTCTGCATGCTGCCCTGTGCTCTGCTGACAGCAGATCTGAGTGGATTGAGGAGTTTTATGCCTCAATCAACTCGGAAGTCCCTCTGGTGGCATTCTGAGTGACTGCAACTGGAGGTGTTCCTAGCTTTCAATGTAAACACTGTATTTTCTCAGAAAATACAGTGTTTACTTGAGAAAGGCTGCAGGGAGCTATAGTTCTCACCTGAACAACCTCATTAAGCTGAAGTTGTTCAAGTGACTATAGCGTTCCTTTAATGTATTTTTTTATTATGAAACAGATTTTAAATGAAGACCATTGTCCTTTTTTTTTTTTATCTTAGACCATATCTTATATAAAATATTTTATTATCAATTTAACATTGTTGGATGCACTTTTTACATGATTAAATTTTTTTTTGTATAATTCTTTATTTTTATAGTGCAGAAAAGGTTTACAAACATTAGGTATCAGGTTTAGAATAAGTAAACAGTCATAACATAACAGAGTAAGGAAATGCAATACCATAATAAAAAACAATGCACCATTTTTTTGTATAGGTCAAACTAGCCAATACTATGTGTGGTCTATCAGAAGTTTTAGGTATTTAAACTGGTAATTAAACAGCCAATTAAACACCCCTGCGGGCCATGGGGAATTGGGTAGAAAACAGGTGGATTGCAGTCCAGGGGCTCTATGCTTGGGGCGAGTAAGCCTAGGCAAGGAAAGTCACTCAACCAAAGCCTCTTCGTGAGGTCGACACTGGCGATGCATCAGGTGATGCAGAGAGGGATACACTCCCGGTGTCCTGAAGAAACAGCAGATGGGACCTCCATGTAGGTATCAGTGTATAATAACATGCTTGCTTCAGTACAGTTCCTTGCACAGTTGGGGGGCCAAAGCCACGCGGGGGATGACTGCGATGCTCCTCGGCACTTAGACGCTTCGTCTTTCTTCTCTGTGGGGCCCAGATGTGTTGAGCATAACGGTGTTCCCCACTTCCGACACTCCTCCCCTCTGGGGCATCGGAAGTGCTCCATCACAGCCCAATCTTGTCAAATATTTTTTATTAAAAGGTTTTCATTTTTTACAATAATAATCATTGTAAAACAATGAATTATATGGAATAAAATCTGACTAGTACAATGCTTATCATTTTACCTTACAATAAGCACGGCAGCATGGGAGAAAATTACTAGTAACTGTCTATCCTTACAATCCTATTAAAATGTGAATTAACATTCTGTTTCATTCTGACCGAGTTAATTTTGTCTGTCAGGCAAAGGCCATCCAACTGAATCCGCTGTATATTATGCTTCCATGCACTCTGTCATCATCCTTGGCCTTCATGCTTCCAGTAGCCACACCTCCTAATGCCATTGCCTTCTCATATGGACAACTCAAGGTCATTGACATGGTAAGCATCTCTTTTCCTTTGGTAGTCCAATCAAATATCAACTGGGCTTTGTATGGGCAAACACGTCACCTGCAGTCCCCACATATTATCTACTATATTCTTGGATATTCTGTTTTTCAAGAGTTGTGCACTACTAAATTGATGTGCATGTTGGATTTACTTTATTATTATTATTATTAGCTATAAAGCGCCAACAAATTCCATAGTGCTGTACAATAGGTGGACTAACAGACATGTATTTGCAACAAGATGAGCTGGACCCACAGGAACAGTGTGAGTCGAGGACCCTGCTCAAACTAGCTTACATTCTAAAAATGTGAACGTGAAAATGTTGACTTTAAGAAAGTGAGCAACATTATGATTTCAATTCTGTTTATATAAAGTGTCATTACAATATTACTGTCATTACAAGTGTCATTGCTGTTGTTAGATCTATATTGAGACAGGGTACATTAATGTACCCAATGCCATGGCCAGAATAATATAGAATATACAGAATAATATTAATACAGATAATATTGTAACTGAAGCTCCTGGCACACACTATAAGCACAAGCTACTTGACTTTTAATTTTTTTTAATGTCTCGTTTAATGATATGCCCATTGCCTAGATGTGATTCATGGAAGATACAGTGTCATAGCAGGGGATGAGAAAGTGTCTTATATTGTCAGGATTATTCACTAAACTGACAATTGCAGGGATTTCAGAGTGATTATGAAGTGAATTCCAAAATTTAGACTAAAAGAGGCGAATCTCCAAGTCAATTCTGTTCTCAGTGTGGCTATTCTGAACTTAAATTTGAAATTCAGTTTGAATTCTTGTCAGCTGTCAGTTTAGTAAATAACCCCGTTTGAAATGTATTTCATGTTCATCTGGATAAGATACTGGTGATGTTCTACCACCCCCTAGTGTTGAATAACATAAACTACAAACATAAATCTGCACTATACTTGTAACAAATATTTTGCATTCTTACAGGCAAAAGCAGGATTTTTTCTGAACATCCTTGGAGTGCTGACCATAACACTGGCCATCAATAGTTGGGGATATTATATGTTCAACCTGGGCACCTTCCCCTCATGGGCAAATACCACCGGACAACCTTAACCGGCCTTCAATCTAGAATACATGGATAAACATGTCAACATATAGATACTTTACCAAACATTCATTTTCAACTCTGATGGTCCACCTACCTACCCAATATCGATGGACATATGGACACTGGATGAAAAGTCTTTCCATTTTGTCAAGCTCAACATACCAACTCACTGTAGATCCATTGTATTGTTCATTGGAACTCTTCTTTGCTCAGTTTGTGAATTCCAGGAGATGGGAGAAATTAGAATGAATCAGCGAGTGTTATCTGTTATAAAAGCTATCAAAAATACCATTCTTTTTAACAGACAAAATTTTTATTTGAACCAATGTAGATCCTGTTTGTCTCTTGTGGAGTTTAAATAGCTGTATATTTATTTATAATGTCAAATGCACGATTCTAACATGTACAATAAGACTCCTAACGATTCATGTCTAGGTCTGGTACTGTTACCAAAGTCATGGATGTTCTTTTTAAAGATTTTTATTTTAAATAGATGCTAAGGGACTTTGCACAGCAAACCTCAGTCACTCAAAGTGTCAAAACATCAAAGTCATCAAAAAAAATGTTTCTGAATTATAAAGATAAAATCATAATAAACACTATAAAAATATGTACTTAACCTTTTGTTTAAATCATAGCAAGGGGTCACGTGAAGAAAACTATATTAATCAATATAAAAATGGGACATACTAAACAGAATATTGGGATGATGGGATCATGGGATGATTGGCTGCAATGCTCAGTACTTCCATTAGGTGTCACTATACTTTCCACACACATACCTGGTAATGACTCTTATGTAACTCAAAGAATGTTGGTAACTGCTGCTGCTGCTGTGCTTGATACAAAGTTGCAAAAAGTAGTTGCAGATGTTTAACTATTCACTTGCTGATATAAAAATATCTATTTTTTTTATATAATGCAATTATAGTAAATTACATAGAAATAATAGAAAATGGGTCAATTCACATGCCGAGGAGCATATTTAATGTGTTTCTGATGGAATAATAGTTGTAATTATTTTTCTATAAAGGGATTATGGGTAGGATGTTTGTGTATTGTTTATAAAAAAAAAGTTCCGCTTTTTTTCCAGAGATACTCATATTACCGCACTTGAACTTTTATGGAGAACATAGCAAAGTGCCGAATTTTGGAATGCCGAACCGAACCAAATTTCCGAAGTGAGGAATTTCCGAAGTGCTTCAGATTTCTGAACAGTGGCAAAACAGGAGAGGGTTGGGGTTAGGGTTAGGGGTTGGGGTAGTGATTGGAGTAGGGTTAGGGGTAGAGTTTGGGTAGGGGCAGGGTAACCCTAACCCTATTCCTAGACCTACCCCTAACCCGACCCTACCCCTATGCTAACCCTAACCTTACCCCCTAACCCTACCATAACCCTACTCCTAACCCTGCTCCTAACTCAACCCTAATTCTACCATAACCCTAACCCTACCATAACCTAACCCTACAACTAGCCCTACCCCTAATCCTACCTCTAGAACTACCTCTAACCCTACCTCTAGCCCTATCCTAACCCTACCCCTACTCTAACCCTACCTCTAATACTACCCCTAGCCCTACTGCTAAACCAAACCTAACCCTACGCCTAACCTAACCCTACCCGAAGTCCCGAACCTAACCAAATATTTTTACCATGCACATCCCTAACAGAAACAGGGTTTAAAAGTTGTTCATGTACAAACCATTATCTAGACCACATACATTAAGTTGAACATTGTGGGGGTTGTCCCAAAGGTCAGTTACACCAAGGATCCAGACATTTGTTTGCCAGCCCCACTGTTTGTAACTAAATTAGCCCAATCTATTTTCACACTACTTCTTCATGACTGCCCTTTTCTTTTCCCGTTATCTACAGTTGCATTCAAAATTATTCAACCCCTTTGAAATTCATTTTTTCAAAATTTACAGACTTTCAGCTGTTTGCAATGAACAAATCAAACAAAAACAATTGAAACAGGAAACAGAGGAAACAGATTAAGGGTTCCACTTAAGAGGGATACCCTACTATTAGGCAGAACCTAATGAGAGGTGATAGGGGACACAGGAAGGGGGATAGTCTGTATCTCTTCTAAAAAAAGGAAAAAACTCTTAGCCATCAGCCTCTTGGAGATTAATAAATAGATATCAGAGACAAACAGAAAAAACTCCCCAAACAATTATGATAATCACTGCTCCGTTCCCACTATAACAGTGGCGTACACATGACCCATGGGGCCCCGGTGCGAAAATTGATCCGTGGGCCCCCCCCTGCGCGCGGGCCGGGCCGCAACACATGGCGGTGGGCACCTGGTCGCAGGGGTTACAGGGCTGCAACCCCTGCGACCGTGGTATGTACGCCAGTGCATGCAGATACACACACACTTAAAGGACCACTATAGTGCCAGGAAAATGTACTCGTTTTCCTGGCACTATAGTGCCCTGAGGGTGCCCCCACCCTCAGGGACCCCCTCCCGCCCGGCTCTGGAAGAGGGAAAGGGTTAAAAACTTGCCTTTTTCCAGCGCTGGGCGGAGAGCTCTCCTCCTTCTCTCCTCCTCCGTTCCTCCTCCTGGACATGAATGCGCACGTGCGGCAAGAGCTGCGCGCGCATTCAGCCCGTCGCATAGGAAAGCATTTACAATGCTTTCCTATGGACGCTTGCGTGCTCTCACTGTGAAAATCACAGTGAGAATCACGCAAGCGCCTCTAGTGGCTGTCAATAAGACAGCCACTAGAGGATTAGGGGGAAGGCTTAACCCATTGATAAACATAGCAGTTTCTCTGAAACTGCTATGTTTATGAAAAAATGGGTTAACCCTAGAAGGACATGGCACCCAGACCACTTCATTAAGCTGAAGTGGTCTGGGTGCCTAGAGTGGTCCACTCAGTGCTTCCTCTTCAGCTCCCTCGCGCGCCGCGTAGGGATGCCGGCGCCGGAAGATGACGTCATCTTCCGGCTCCGGTATCAGTGAGGTGCGCGAGGGAGCTGAAGAGGAAACAGTGAGTGCTCCCTCGCGCGCCCGCCTGCCCGACCGGCCACCCGCCTGCCTGGAGTCAGCAGGGCCAGCCTCGGGGGGCCCTGGGGTGGTCGGCTCCTGGGCCCCCCAGGGGAAGAGGCTGGCCCTGTGGGTACATACCGGGTCGCAGGGGCGGCCGGGCCCCATGGTGGGCCGGGCCCGGTCGCAACCGCGACCCCTGCGACCCTGGTATGTACGCCACTGCACTATAACCACCATACCCCATAGAGTATATATCCTCATCTGTCCCAAATACTTTTAGAAAGTACAGTCTGTTAGATGCAATTGCACAGTGATTAAGGAATTATATAATCATTATTTACTTTTCAGACCAGTTTAGTTATTTTCCTTTTCATAAAATTATTGTCTTAATACAACACAATTCTTGGTGTCTTTCTTAGTTGCGGATTATTTGTATAAGAAGATTTTGCACTGATGCACACATATTGACAATCACAGTGTCGCAGTGTCAGTAAATTGCCAACGGGGAAATATTAATTTAATTCACATATTAGCATTTGCAGGTTCCAAAACAGGAGGTAATCTATTAACTGTTGGTCCTTGTTCAATGCTTATTACAATAATCAGCATCTATCTTGTATATTCTCTTCCAGGCACTTCTGTAACTCACCAGAGCGATGAAAGGAGTTACAAAGTGTGTTTCTGCAACTCATTCGGGCTAGACAAGCAACCACGAGTTTTATGATCTTATATGAAATATATTACAAAACAATTCTGCAAAACAACTGCAAATTGTACTCAGGAAAGAAATTATGCTAAAGTAACCATTTTACATGGGCGTATAATAAGTTTGTATCATCTGTTTGCGAACCTCTTGTAAAAACAAGGGTGCTTAAAGGAACACTATAGGGTCAGGAACACAAACATATATTTCTGACTCTATTTTGTTAAAAACACTATGAAACCCCTCTGCCACCCGCCACTCCACCCAAAATATAGTGGAATCTTACTTTATTCAAGTGTGCTGCTGCTGGCTCTGACCCTGATCTGCCTCCTTGGCTGGCATCATCAGAAGTAGTCATCTGAGCAAACCACAAAGCTTTCCCATAGGAAAGCATTGGATTGGCTGAGAATGCCAAGGAGGCAGATTGGGGCAGAGCCAGCACAAACCTAACACAGCCCTGTCCAATCAGCATCTCCTCATTAAATGCATTGAATCAATACAGCTCTATGAGGTAAGTTCAGGGTCTCCATGCAGAGTGTGGAGACACTGAATGGCAGTGCTGCACAGTGTGCAGCACTGTCCCAGGGAGCACCTCTAGTAGCCATCTGAGAAGTGGCCTCTGGAATGGAGGTGTGCCTAAGCTGTAATGTAAACACTGCATTTTCTCTGAAAAGACAGTGTTTACTGCAAAAAGCCTGAAGGGAATGATTTTACTCACCAGAACAAATACATTAAGCTGTAGTTCTGCTGACTATAGTGTCCCTGACTATAGTGTTAAATATGGTCCCAACCCAGTGTTAACACCATTATCTATACAACATTAGCTTATGTGTTTTGGTAGACACTGCACTGCATTGACCTTAATCAGCTACGTCACAGATGCTACAGTGGCGATATTCATTTCCGTTTTGATGTTCTTATTCCCATCTGAGATGCCATCATGTAAATGTAAGGATACAACACAGCCAGGTAAATACCAGCTGCAGTTTGTTTTATTAGTCCAGGTGTAGGTCACGTACAAAGTTGTGATGAATTGAAGAGCTTTGACTCTACTGTAATTCTATCCATACAAATATTCTATATATGTTTGTTATGCAGAAACTGTGTAATGTTTGGGTGATGGAAGCCCTCACAAGATACACAAGTAAATTGTCAGTTTTGTGACATCGCTGTCTCCATTCCTTATTGTGGCCCTTTTGTAACATATGTTTAGATAAGTCGGTGTTTATTGATAAAGACCTTCCACTAACAGAATTGAACTTTTTTTACATAGTTTCATAGGCTGAAAAGAGACAAGTTTAGCTTTTCTCACGTCTGTTTTTTGCTGTTGATCCAAAAATAGACAAAGAAAAAAAAACAGTTTGAAGCACTTCCAATTTTGCAACAAATTAGAAAAAAATCCTTCATGACCTCAGAATGGCAGTCAGATTTATCCTTGGATCAGAAGCTATTAACTAACGAATTAAAAGTGATATCCCTTAATATTATGGTTTTGCAAGTATGCATCCAGTTGCTGTTTCAACATCTGTGCAGACTGATAAAAACATTTCTTCAGGCAGAGAATTCCACGTCCTTATTGTTCTTAATGTAACAAAAACCCTTCCCTTTGCCTTAGACTAAATCTCCTTTCTTCCAGTCTAAATGTGTGACCTTGTGTCCTATGTATAGCCCTGTTTATGAATAGATTTCCAGACAATGATTTGTATTGGCCCCAAATACATTTTTATAATGCTATCATATCCCCTCTGAGGTGACGTTTTTCTACACTAAAGAGGTTTAGATTTGTTAACCTTTTTTCATACCTAAAATTTCTTTGAGTTTGAAAACTAATCTATTGTATGGAGCTGCTTCAAACAC